AGAGAAATGTTGAAACCTTAGAGACTGGAGTTACAGCATCAAGCATTAGTTCAGTATGTGAGTATCCAGTGTTTCTATTCACATTTTTAATTCTCAAATTTTTTAACATCACTCTGGGACAGAGGTAAGCAAGACATTTGGTTGCATCAGTGCATGTGCTGTGCATTGATGGTGTGTATGTATACTTATAGCAGCAGATAAATGACTGAAATTCAATATTCTGAAGTTCTTTTGCCATTTGGATATGTTCATTTACTTCATTCTTTATGATTAAAAAGCCTCTCTGCACTCTGCTAGCCTTCTCTTTAAATCTTCTATCTTTAAATCTTAAAGATTCTTGCACTGCATAGGTGGTGCTTTTGTACAGTTAAAAAGTAGAAGTCAGGCTTATTTCACTTTTTTTTTTTCTTGAAAGCAAAAAATATCAAGCTGCTTTTAACCTGGTCCTTGTTTTCTTCATGTAAGAGATTGTAGGACAGGTAGAATAGCAGGAGACTAGACCTGGCGATCCAGAAAGCTTCCTCCAGTCCTGTGTTCTTATGTATGTCTGCATATTACTGTACAGAATAAAAGTAGTTGTTTAAGTATATTATATATTATGTTCCTAGTATTGGTTTTAAGAATTTTAAGCTAGCTTTCTGCTTTAGGATGAAGATAAGTGTTGCTATCCTTAAGAGTTCTTTCTCCTTACTCAAAGGCTGGAAATTTTTGATGATATGATTTTGTCATTTGAAATTAAATGGAATTATTCCATGTGCTAATTTTATTCCAAACCACTGACCTCTAGTGGCTGATTTGCAACTATGAAGCAAAACATTTCAGTAATTTAATGTGCTCCTCATGTGTCTGTCTGGCTACAGGGGAGAGTCTTTTTCCCTTTAAATTGCTCAGGAGAATAATGCCTCTTCATGATTTATTCTACTTTGGCTTTGCAAATATCTATTTGCCTTATTCATTAGAAAGGACATCAAAGGAAAACCAGATTTATGGTTAAGGTTTCTTTAAAGAAGTAACTACTCACAAGGCCAGGTGTTTCTTGTGATTGTTGGCAAGATAGAAGACCCTGTGATCTGTGGGATCATCCTGTTATAAAGGTCTTAAAACATTTATTGTCAAATCCTTGCAGTCACAAAGCATGGTAATTATATTAGCAGAATCCCGATTCCTTTGCTTCGGTTTTTGCTGCTTTATAATTGAAGTCCTTCCTACATGTGTGGGTATGGGATTATTGATTTGGGAACAGTAATATTTTCATCTTTTTTCTGCATAACCATGAAGTGCATTTTTTTGGATACACGTTGTATGAATCTTTCCCTTTTCCCTAATTTGATTTGAGCTGTGTATGTCCCAGTATAACTCCCATTGATTTTTGTTGAGTTAGGCAAGTGACTCTCCATTCCCCAGCGGGAGAGCAAATTCTTTAAAATCATGCCTCCCTTTAGGAGAACAGCATTGAGTAGGTAAGAGGGGTGCCTGCACAGAGCCATACTGTGCTGTTTTTTTTTTTTGTTTTAGTTTGTTTTTTTTTTTTTTAAGGCAAATCTCCTGATCATTCTTATTTACCATGAAACCAAACTGGAGTGTCTGCTCTAGGCTCGTTCCTAATGAGCTTTAGTCTCTGTCAGGGATACAGGGTCTGACCGGTATGGGGGCTGCATTCCTGCCAGGTTCTTCCGTGTGTACCAAGTGCATGTGTCAATGGAGGGCTTCCAAACCACGGAGACGTGTGGTGTCTTGAGGCCTTTTGAGCACTGTAAGGGCCAAATGATATCTCTGCTTCCATGTCTACTGTCAGTCTCTAGCCCCCAAAGTTTATCCCATCTTTCTCTTATCCTGGTATTCCTTCCCTTTTTGACCTGCCCTACCTTCTGTTCTTGCCTGCTCTCGTGAAACTGTTTCCCGCTTCTGGAATTCCATTCCTCTGCTTTACCGTACTCCCACTTCCACCGATTCTGCAGGACTGATGCCAGCTTAGCCCCCCAGAAGATCCGGCACGCGTGACCTGGGTTCCCGAGGAAGGGACGTGGCCGCCGGGCCGTGCTGCGAGAGGAAGGCAGGCGGCTCCAGCGGCAGCCGGGCGTCACGAGCTGCCCGGCCGCGGCTGGGGTTGGCAGGGCTGGCGGAGCACTGCTGCGTGCAGTTCAAGAGACTGAAGAGGACTCTGCTGGTGTTCCAGTGAATGAACTGCATGTGAATTATTGAGAACGCTTACCCGCGTGCTGGAAATGAATATTTGCTTCTAGTTTAATGTTGATCTTTGGCCCAGTGACCGTGAAATAACTTTACAGGCCTACGTGACTCAGTGGTGTTACACAGGCTTCTGTAGGTTTACCATTTTGTGCTGTGGAAGAGTCATTCCCCTCATGTGCCTGCCTGCCATTAAATACTTTTTCTGTTAATTTAAATATTTTACCTAAAAATCTTAAAGGTTGGTTGGGATCACTGGACACTTCATGCATTCATACTTTTTTTTTTTTTTTGTTGAACTTTTGGTATGTATTTGCTTACTGTTAACAATATATGTGTAGGATCATAAAAGGTACAAAATCAAAGCAGTTTTTCCCTTTTAGAAACTTTGCTGTGCTGTATGAAAGACACACAAGGCAGGATGTTATGGGAATCCCAAAGAGTAACTTAAACGGTATTGTCATTATCTCAGCTCTTGCTGCTGATCTGGGAACATTGCGAGTCTCCTCTGCTGTATAAACTTGAAATCTTTAATGAATTTCAGATTAAAAAATATTCAAATTGACTTTATATTCCACCATTTTTTCATGTAAGGAACACAAATCTTTCACTGTGTAGCCTTCAGGTACCACAGATTTCTTGCTAGGCAGTAGCATTGGAGAATTTCATAATGATGTACTGTTGTAGTTTGAATAATCCAACTAGTTGTTTTTTGTTTTGTTTTGTTTTTTTTTTTGTTTGTTTGTTTGTTTTGTTTTAATAGGAATGAGAAAAAAAGCTTCCAAAGGTCTATATTTCAATCCAGTTGCCCATCTTTACTTAGAACTGCTTACGGATCAAGGAACTATTCAAGTGTCTCCACTAAGCAGGTTCTAAATCTTGGACTGTGTGGGTACAGCCTTTTGTGTTCTTCCTGAGGACCTGGTAAAGAAACTTAACCTTGTAAATTTTTACTGGCAAGGTAATATGCTTTATACAACAAGGTTCTTGAGTTTTTGCAAAAGGATGCTTGGGGAAATGACCCCGGTATGGTAGCCAGCCTCCCACTTCTTATGAGCAATATACATAAACAGTGCCCAGTCATTTAGGGTGTTTCTCTATTTGTTGCTAGTGACTGATAACTACTGGTTGTGATGCTCATAAATAAGGATTTGAGATTTTTGTCTTAGGGTGTTGCAGCTACCTGCCGTGAGGCATAGTAATTCATTATCAATTGCTTCATGTACTTGGCTGTCCCATGCTGAATAGGCTGTTATTGATGCTCTTTTTGCTTGTTCTTTATCTCCTTCCTCCCGTTTCAGTATGTATCAATAGAAAGGTTCATGCAGAGCCTTTGATCATGTAAATCCTAGTTGACCACCACACCAGTAGTATCTATTAATTCACCTATGGTATTGCAGCTTTATTTTCCTTCCTGTTTCATATTTACAACAAAACCAGACAAGGCAAACTCGGTTACTCAGCTGGATAAAAGAATATGAAATAGTTTAGTAATCCCATTTAGTTTTGAACAGGAAATGATAAACCTAAAGAAAAATAGTTTTAAAAGTAATGCAACACTTAGCATCTCCTCTGGAGTATAGCAGAGAATCTTCAGGAATTACAAATCTTTCAAGAATTTCTATAGTCATTCAAACATCCTTATGTAGGGAAAAGAAAGGGAATACTGTTAACCTTGTGTTTCTTCATTTCACTGTTAGGCTCTTGCCAAAATAACAAGAAGCCAGCAAAATATGTATCAGCTGTGTGTTAGACCCCAACTGAAATTGGTGAATTGACCTCACCTTTGTTACTTTATGACTTGCAGTGAATTAGTATTTAATTCAATTGCTGTACATTTGGTACTTAATGATACAGCATCTGTTGCAATACTCCTGATTCACTTGGTATGGCTGTGATTGTGCTACTGGGAAGATGGATGTTAATTATTTTATGCAAGTATTTTACTTCAGTCTGCCTCCATTGGGTTTCTAGGAAAACTTGTATTGGCAATGCTAATTGCTAGCTGGCTGGTAAAGAAGTTAGGTGCCAGCAAACCTTGTTCAAAATCTAATTGGGTATGTTAAAGACAGGTGCTGTAATAGTTCTCCTCAGTGATCAAATGCTTTGTGGATTATCAAGTACATTAATTATCCACATTCCCTGCCAAGCTAACTTCTGGTGAGCTCCTACGTTCCTCCCACTGTGCAAATCAAGACAAGGAGGCCTGAGATGTTCTGTCAGAGTCATGTAAACTAATCTCAGAGCTCTTCTGGAAAAACTTAAAACTGCCCAAACGCTTTTTTATTAAAAAAGTGTGTAATCTGATGCCATTGGGACTGATCACATGCATGGTCTTGAGCCAGATGGGAGGTGAAGCGAGCAGAAGGTGTCACAGCAGGGCTGGGTACAAGAAGACATCATGACCCTCTGCCCTCATGTTCCTCTGCAGGGCCCACTCTCTCTGGAGAAAGAAGTTTTTAGTTGTTTGGGTTTTTTTTTTTTTTGTGGTGGTTTTTTTTTTGTTTGTTTTTGTTGTGGTGTCTTTTTTTTTTTAATTAGATCTTGGTCTATCAGCACTGAGAGGGGAAGCAGAGTTGAGGGGAGAGTATTTTCCCATAAAAATCTTGCAAGCGTGTTTTAATGTCATCTACAAAAACCACGGGTTATGGTGGTTTTTCACCCGTGCTAACACATCGAGCAGGCCCACGTGTGTTACACACACACACACGGGTATCTCTCCCCTCTTTCCCCACGAGCAGGACGCGCTCCCCACCCCTCGGGCGCGCCCGCGCAACCGAGGCGCGGCCGCTCCGCGCAGGCGCGGCGGGAGGGGCCGGTGAGGCAGCGGCGGCCCCTGCTCCCTCCGCACATCCGGGCCCCGGCTCCGCCCACCGCCGGCTTTTCCCCCCGCCGGCTGCCGCCCGCCGCCGCCCCGCCGGGCTTCTCCCATGCGCCTGGCCGCCCGCCGGCCGGCCGCTGGCGTGCGGCGGGGAGCGGCCGGGCTCCGCCTGCGGCCGCCGCCATGATGCCGGCCCTGGCCGCCCAGCGGCGGGGCTGCCGCGGCCTCTACCGCCTGTACCTGCGGTGCCGGGCGGCGCCGCTCCCCCGCGCCTGCCACGGTGAGTCCCTCAGGGCCCGGCCCGCTGCGCCCTGCGGTCCGGCCGCCGGGAACCCCCCACCCCGGGGCGGGCCCCCGCCGCTCCCCGCTCGAGTCTCGTAGGAAGCAGTGATCGAGCTGCGTGGGGAAAAGTGACGCCGACCCCCCGGCTGTGGGGCGTCCGCGGGGCCGGGAGCCGCCGCACCGCGCGGGCGGCCTCCCGCGGATCGCCTTTAAAAAAAGAAGGGAAGTCGTCCAGGTCGTAGCTGCCTCGGTAGGCCAGGCGTATCGCGACGGGCACAGTGCCGTATCGCGGGTGTTTTCAGGCGCCCGGTGTAGGCCTGCTGCCCTCTCAGCCCCGGTCTTACGTAAAACTAGTACGTCATGCCCGCGTCGGGGTTGGAGTTTGCGGTAATTCTAGAAAACGAAGCGTGGTCTTACAGGGTTCCTGCTGGAGTGAGCTCTGGCTTTTCTTTTAGGCGACAGATCCCACGAAATATAAATTCTGGCCGGTTTTCTTCATCTTCGTGTATTTTCTTCATCTTCGTGTAATCACTTACGGTTGAATTGCAGCAAATACCCTTTTTCTTTGATGTTTTTTTTCGTGTGTGTATGTGTATGGACTGGTAGGCCCTCTAAACATGCTGATTAAGTTTCCCTTTCTCAAGTGCTCCAGTATCACCAAAGTTCAGGAAACAACACTTCTCATCTTGTGCCATATAGTTATTGTGGTGTTTCATGAGTCATAATCACTAAGTTCACTGAGCTGTGTTGAGTTGATTTTTCTGGGATTTTGTCACGTTAGTGACATCTAATAATAAGAGCTTATCAGACTTCTTTTGAGCTCGTTTTGAACTTGTTCTTCTGTACAGTTCAAATTCGTGCATGCACATGTGCAGATGCTTTGCTGCTAAAATAAAAGGAAAGCTGTTGAGGCTTTTATAAACAGGTCTATAAAATATCATTTTGTAAGAGATGCATTATTCATATACGATTAGGCATACTTTGTATGACTTGATTTACCAGCACTGCTTAATTTTTTGTTGTTGTTGTTTTATGCTTTATTTTTTAATGAGTGCTTTGCAAAGCAGCCAATTTGCTTGTTGCATTTCTGGTTGGAGGAGTTGTATACCCTCTCTACAGAAATGTTTGTGCTGCCTAAAAGAAGCTGGTTGTTAATACAGGTTGGCCTGTACCGCGTATAACTGCTTTTGGCTAGTCTTTAGACATTGAAGATTGCATACCTGGGGTGATTTCTCAGTAGGCTTTTTACATATTTGTCTTGTAATTTGTCTGTTGTAAATTTTGCAGAATTTAAGATTCTTCTGAATAAAATTTTTTATACAGTGTTGTGTGCGTTTCTATGTAATTTCTGTAGTGTAATGCAATGCATGCAGTTTGGTTTTTCTTAATTGGTAAGCTGTGGCTTGTACAGGGTGTGCGAAGAGTGAAATGAAATGGCTAATAGTTTTGTTGTGTGACTTATGCTGGTTTAGCTGGACCACTTTTCCTTCTTTTTCCTTCCAAAATGATTGCTTGAAACCTCTTTTTTTTCTTCTTCCCCCTGATAGGATGGCAAGCTTCAATGAAAAGTGGGAGCCTGTCTTATATTCTACCATGCAATCGTCTGCCTGTGCAGTTGATGAGTCAAGTGAGAGTTTATACCTCCAGTGGTCAGAAAAAAGATCTTGGATCCGAAGGTACAAATAGATCAACCCCTGAAGAAACCCTGCGTAAAGTTGGAACAGGTGGTACTAAGCTAAAATAAAGAATATTTATAGAAATGTAAAAACTTTATGTATTGAACAGTTCATAGCTTTTTTTTTTTTTTTCAATTGTATGGTATTATGGTTGTAGAATTCTTAGTATTTGTTGCTTGTGGGCAACTATATATGAATTTCAAATGTATAAGCAGGGAGGAATGCTGAAATTTATTTCTTTGTCATTCTAGTATTTAAAGGATTTAAGTTTAGTCAAATTTAAAGTGGTGATAAGGTGGATTTCAGAAGGGATTAGGTAATTTAAGGGTTAAGAAATTGAATGTATTACTTGTCTTTCACCACTTTGCATGCTTACTTGAATTATTTTTGTAGAATTTCAGGTTTGTGGTATGAAATGAACTAGAGATAAAGGTTGAATGAGTGTGAATACTGAGCAATGTGACTTCTCCAGGTCAGGCTATAGATGGTAAAGAAGGTTGAGCTTTGTCACCTGCTGGAGCTTTCTAACCTGACAGTTGTCAGAACTGCAGCATTCACATTAAACGCTTGATATAATGGACATAACCTGACCCTCCTTGCTGTTCAGTTTGATTGTTGATCTTGTGCTTGTGAAATTCAGAACTGTCTTGTCCTTGCTGCATCCTATCATCCTATTTTTTCTGCTTATTAAGTGTAGGACTGCACAGATATATATGTTTGGAAGACCATGCTTAACAGATAACAAATTATTTTTTAAAATGAAAGCTCTCTTTCTGTGTGCTTTTGTCTAAAACTAAGTGTCTTACTAAAGAAAATTTCATTCTCGTCATTGTCAGGTTATCAGGTAGTCATTCTTTCTTCAGTAACTTGTAAATTGCTAAGACTTGCAGCAATCTTCAAAAGTTAGTAACTATAGCCAGCTAGGAGAATTACTGTCCTGATGTTTGGAAGTGCAAAAGCGGATCTTAAATGTTGTTCTAAGTGTAACAATTAGATATTGTTTCTTAAGTCTGCAACTGAATTTTAGACCGTTTAAGTTTCTTGGAAAGTGTTGAGCTGAAGATGGTTGCTGAAGGGTGGAGATCCTTGCAGAAGAATGTCTGCCTGAATACAGTGAAAGACTGTAGGGACAGTTGTAGTTGTTGGTATTTTTCTGGGTTCTTAATGTGGAGTTAAAGGTATTAAAAATAGGACATGCGAAAATAGTCTAGCACTATTGCTTTTATGACTGCCTTGAGTTCATATAATTGTTGATTGTCATCAGAAGGGATGTTCCCACCTTCTCCCACCCCTATCATTATTCCCTCTCTTGTGCTGGTATTAGTGACATTCAGGCCTGTTTTGTGAAAACTAATTTCTTGCTTGTTTTGCAGAGCTAGGGTAGAGTTAGGATGGATCACTAAGCTGATCCTGCTCACTGTCTAAAATGTCTGGAGGAGAGATGCTGCCCTTTGTGGCAGCACAGCCTTGAGTCGTAGAAGTCCTTGAGTGGAACTACACCACATGGACACCATGAGGCTTAACTTTTGTTGAAAGCGGGGGCTGACGTATGCAAGCATATATGAAACTGCAGCCTAGAGATACTGTGCATAGATGAACAATTGCTTTGAAGTTTATTTTGGAATTCATATTGTTATATGCATGCTTCATATAGGGAGTGTTTTCTAGGGCCTAGTGGATAGAACGTTCGTATGTATTATGGGCATAATACTACTGTTTATTTAAAAAAAATGGTATTTTGGTAGAATTCTGAAAAGGTAATATAATACCTGTAAAGATTGCCTTACTTTTCCAGTAACTTAAATACTTATTAAATAATGGATATCTTTTGGACTTCCTTTTCTTTATCAGTAAACTTGGGAAATGCTTTTCATGTTAATGGGATATTGAAAATATTAATGTATTAATCCTGAAAATTCTACCATATCAACCTCTGCTTGACTGAAAAACAGTAATTGTGAATTGAAGGTTTTGTTTTTTTTTTTTTTTTCCCCTCATCAGTACACTGTGATTTTGTCCAGTTTCTAGACTGAGGTAGTAAACTTTAGAAGTGTACTTGATATACATAGATTTATGTGCATAGATACAAATCTTGTTATTTTTGTATCTTTCCCCCCACGTCCCCACCCCCTGTGATCTTATGACCCAATCTTTTTGTTAAGTAATGTTGGTGATATTTCTTTTAATGATATAAATGGTTGCATGAAATTTCTGAAAAGAAGATACTACTCAGTTTTTGCTAAGCAATCTTAGCTGAAGTTTTTTATCATGAATATTGATAAATCTGCTGCCTGGTGTTTTAAACCAGGTAAGAAAAGAAAGGAACAGCAAAGGGTTTTCTGCTTTTGTTTTGAAGTCAAACAGTGACTGATGGGGATGACTGTTTTAGGAATGCTAATTTATGGTCCAGCCTTATTTGTTGTGTAATAAGATCAGTTTCATAAATTTATAAGTGTTATTTTTCCAAGAAAGTATATTTGGATTGTTGTTAGCCTTAGTCCCCAGTTGCTGTTAGGGCAATAACTAATTGCCTGATGGAAAGATAGTTATGTAGTCCACACTTCAAGAATGTCTGACCTTTGAGTAATTTGAGTAGCATGCTAAGGTAGGAGTATCTCATTAATTAACACAAACCTGCTTGAATAATATTATTTTCTTTTTTATCTATCACCTTCAATAAGGTCAGTTTTATTTTTGTTAATGACTCTGGATGTGTAGCAAACCCTCAATGTTAGGGAGTGGTAGGGCACACAAGAATGGGTATGTTGGTTTGACATGTTAGAATTATAAGGTTTTTGTTCTGAAAGCTATGTTGAAATGTATGAGATAAGGATGCACTATTTGTATTTTCAAGTAGTACTTCTGATTTCTAAGTAGAAATCGCACTGAAATTACTGGAATATATTATTTTTCAAATATTAAGATTAATTTAACAGTACTGTAAATTATATTTTACTGACTTTTTATTGAGTCATATCCTCAAATTTCAAAACCACCTAAAATACTTTGTCTTTATTCTAGCTCCAGCTTGTGACATGTGTCGTGGATTTTAGTTTAAATAGTCTATATTTTAAGGAGCTATTTTTTTGTAAGTGAAAAAGCTTCCATCCCTTAAAATTGAATTACAGCTTGAAAGGCCTGAGAGACTCAGATGATCAGCAGCTATAAACTATATAGGATTCATTATATTTACTCATCTACAATTTTGCATGAAACTCGCCCCAAACTATAACTATACTGTTAAAATATATTTTAAAAATTCAACATACTTTCTCAAATATGTTGCAAGTTGGTGCTCTTCTGCAAACTGCTAGGAATGTATTGATTGACGCTATATTAATATCTTATTTTGTTATTTATTTTTTTACTATTTCCGTCTTTTATTTTGAGAGTTTTAAGTGTTAGAAATCTAGCAAAAATGTTTTTTAATTGTCAGGTTCAAAAGCAATATTAAGATGTATTCTTACTTTGTTATGTCAACCAAACTCTCTACTAAAAAGAAAAGTAGATACTTCCATATTAACAGTGAGCTTTATTTTTATTTTACAGGACAGGATACAACCAGTGCAGGTCAAAAGCAGTCTTTCCTTAAAGAGCCAATCCAAGTAAAAGGTAAAAAGATACTTCCTGTATTTACTGATGTCTGCTAATAGTCAAAAAGGATATGTGTAAGGAAACAGTGGTTTCTCTTAAGTTGTGTAACAAGTTACGTGAATAACATTTTAAAACACACTTGTATGTCAGCTTTGTTTGTTAGCCAGTTGTTTGAAAATGACTCCTGAAAAAATCAAATATAGCAGTATTCCTTTTAATTACTCTTCTGTGTCTCTTTTTAGTTGTTTCATTTAAGTTGATCAGTTTGTCAGGAAAAGACTGATTTGCTTCCTCATCTGTTATTGCAGTCTGTCCTCCTTGTATGTTTTTAGGCATGTCCATTCACCATCTCAGACTTAATGTGGCTAAGCTGAATACTTGAGCTTCCCCTGTTACTTGTTAAGTCTTCCTCTGTTTCTTTTTACTGCTGAGTTAATCTAATCAGTGTTGCTCCTAAATATATTTTGACCACATGAACTGCCTAATCTGAGTCTTGTAATGTTCCCATTTGTGCCTGTAGTGATGCAGTGGGTTGACCCTGGCTGGATGCCAGGTGCCCACCAAAGGTGCTCTGTCATACCCTTCCTCAAGTAAACATGGGAGAGAAAAAATGTAACGAAAGGCAAGTGGGTGGGAATAAGGGCAGGAGGACAGGGAGGTCCCTCACCAATTCCTGTCATGGGCAAAACAGACTTGACTTGGGGAAAATTAGTTTAATTTATTACCAATCAAATCAGAGTAGGTAGTGAGAAATAAAACCGGAATCTTAAAACACCTTCCCCCATCCCTCCCTTCTTCCTGGGCTTAACTGTACTCAAGATTTCTCTACCTCTTCCACCCAAGTGGCTCAGGGGGATGAGAGTTATGGTCAGTTCATCTCCTGTTGTCTTTGCCGCTCCTTCCTCCTTAGGGGTAGGACTCCTCACATTCTTCCCCTGCTCCAGCATGGGGTCACTTCCACAGGAGACAGTCCTCCACAAACTTATCCAACATGAATCCTTCCCATAGGCTGCAGCTCTTCACAAACTGCTCCGGTGTGGGTCCCTTCCACGGGGTGCAGTCCCTCAGGAACAGACTGTTCCAGCGTGGGTCCCCCATGGGGTCACAGGTCCTGCCAGCAAACCTGCTCCAGTGTGGGCTCCTCTCTCTATGGGTCCACAGGTCCTGCCAGGAGCCTGCTCCAGTCTGGGCTTCCCATGGGGTCACAGCCTCTTTTGGGCATCCACCTGCTGTGGCGTGGGGCCCTCCATGGGCTGCAGGCAGAGATCTGCTCCACCATGGACCTCCGTGGGTGCAGGGCACAGCCTGCCTCACCCTGGGCTTCACCAGGGGCTGCAGGGGAATCTCTACTTCAGTTCCTGGAGCACCTCTCCCCACTCCTTCTTCACTGACCTTGGTGTCTGCAGAGTTGTTTCGCTCACATATTCTCACTCCTCCTTCCAGCTGCAGTTGCTGTTTTACAGATTTTTTTCCTCCCTCACATGTGTTATTCCAGAGGCGCTGCTGCCGTTGCTGATGAGCTCGGCCTCGGCCAGCGCCAGGTCCATCTCTGAGCCGGCTGGCACTGGCTCTATGGGACATGGGGGAAGCTTCTAGCAGCTTCTCACAGAAGCCACCTCTGTAGTCCCCCCACTACCAAAACCTTGCCGCACAAATCCAATCCAAATAAATACATGCTTCTGTCTTTAGTTACATTGTTTAGAAACATAAGTGGATAAAATGAGTGTAACTTCCTTTCATGTCCTTAATTTATCATGACTTGATTTCACTCCATCTTCACTCTGATAGTTTCTGTTATATTATTATGAGAATTATGCTTTTAAAAACTGTTGTGCTGTATGGAAAGAACTTTATCAAAATAGAAATTGCCATTTCTCTTTGAACTATGTAAAAAAAAAAAAATCTCTGCAGTGAAAGTGACTCAACAGGCTGTAAACTGTATCAGAATTCCTACTGTCTTTCTCCAAATTTAAAGAAATATTAAATCATAATACTTGTTAGTAACAACATGAGATCAGTGTCTCTCTGTGTATATTTTCTGTACACTTTTGTCTGCATCCTTTATGTCAATTTCTTTGGGTCTGTTGTCAGTGTATGCATGCAGGGGGGACATACAAGGTAGATAGGAGAAATTAGACTGTAAAATAATTCTAAAAATATATATATCTTTCAATGAGAATAAAGTTTTGGCTCTGTAGATTATAGATGTGCAAGCAAGAAAAGTGGAATTCTAGTCTTCAGATGCTGCGGTGACTTAGAAACTTAATGATCCAAGTATTACTAAGACAATAACACTTTTAAAAGATCACTAATCTTAAAAATTTGTGTTACTTAAAGTGTTTTATTTACATCATCTTTTATTGGTCTCTGTCCTCTTGGAAATACAAAATTGATTTATTTTTTTTCCCCCCACATTTATTGCCAATTTTGTATAGTTATTGGAACTAAGGGTATGATTGTTGAGATATTCTGCAATGTCCAACTGGCTCTGGTATTTTCTTTTAACTAAATTTACCTGTGTTTCTGAAAGATGGGTATATATCTGTTTTAAATAAGAAAAGATGGGAAGCATTCTTATTATTTAAAAATGTTCATCCTAGCCTAATCTTAGTAAATGATGGACTGGTTTTAGTAAATCTCTATTTTTCTTGTCACCTTTGCTCAGGAGCATTGTGGGATGAATGTGATTATCAAGTACTTCAAAAATTGTCTAAGTTCAAACTGTATGACAGAGATCAGATTGTGATGGTAAATATTGATATCTGTAATGTTATTGTATTGTTGAGTGTCAAGAAATGTATTTTACCTTTAAGCTTTCAAAACTCAGAAATAGGACAACATAGAACTCTAGGAAGTTTTCTTCTCAAATTCTTTAAATGCAGTATCTTTCTGTAATTATCCTGTGACTTAGGGAGAAATTCTGGACTAACTATATAAATCATATAAATCCTGTGATACGCAGGAAGTTCATGTGTGCTGACAAGTCTTCTCACTTACAGAATTTGAGCATATAATTTTCAGTTGTGTTCTTTAGCCTTATATCCTTTTGCAATTGTAACTCTTCTTCCAGTAAGCATAACGTTTTTAATGGAAGTGAGTGTATAGTGACTTACACTTGAAAATAAGATGAAGTTATGTATGTATAGTCAAGCAGGAAATAATGGCGTAAATTTTAAATTCCATTTGTCCTTTTCTGAGTACATGTAGTATTCTTTTTCCTGTGCATGAAAATCTGCTAACAGTAAATATTCTAAACCCAGAAAGCATTATAAATAAAGAATGTATGTTTTTAATTGTTATAAATAGCCAATACTAAGGGTGCAAATTTTGAAAGTAATAGTTGAGAAAAATGACTTATAAAGTGTGTCTCATTTCTCTGTGTGGTCTACAAAGGTCAAAAATCTTATCTGAAGAAGGTGGAATTGGTTAAGTATTGGAAAAAAAGAAATGGAGCTTTATGTTGCCATTTCAGTTGCTAGAGCGAGGGTTTCCAAATTGCCATATTTAAATGCTATCCTAATAGCCAAACACCATCTCTGACATGAAAGTTGAAGAAGTTTCTGACAGTGGCAGTTAAGTGTGTGGGATCTTTGAGAGCCCTGAACTAAAACTTAGCAAGTAGCATTTTTGGAGGTAAATCATTCTACTCTTACTCATTTTCACAATGAAGAACATTCCTTTCTCTTCACTTGTAAGCTTTCTATCTCACTAACAAGCATTGTTTTTCAGGTGTCCATGCAGAGGTATCATGATATGACACTAGGTTGAATTAACTTTTGTAGTTTCAGCTGTAGTCTCCGCGAGTGATTTAACTTGCTTATCTATTTCTGTTTTTAAGTGAAAGCAGTCCTTAAAAAGAGAGAGTATGGACCAAAATACACACAGAATAACTTCATCACTGGAGTCAGAGCAATAAATGAGTTTTGTCTTAAGTCCAGGTATGATGGGTTTGAGTTGAAATTTAAATTGTGACTATTTGTTCGTATGTGCTTCAAAAGTAATTGTGATTGTAGAGTGATTTTACACAACAACTTTTTCTAAATGCTTTTGTGGTATACCTAATCATAAGTGGCTGAGGTTACTTCTTGTATACTTAGTGTGTTACAGTGGATTAGGAACTTGCACTTAGTTTGCATGTTTCCGTAGTTGCTTCTTAAAGTAATTTGTTTATACTTATATGACCATAAATCTAGTTGGGAGGAGTCCACCTGTAGAGCAGCTAGTTATGGGGGGAATGGCAAATAACTCTTGTTTCAGCATTTTGGGGTCATGATGGTTTGAGGTGAACATCTCTAAAAGATCTGTGGAAACTTCATGTTATGTAAAGTCTGTAATTTGGAATAAAATATAATCTGGTTCATTGTAACCGAACTATTGTTACTTGATTAATATTTACTGCCTTTTACTATATGCCGTGCCTGCCAGCAGGTCATACTGAGTGTCGTTGTAGTTGAGGTGTCTTGTCAGATTTCGTGCATGTTATGTATGTAACCCATATTAAATCTAAAGGCATAGCAGCTTTGTTTGTAACTTTTTATGCTGTCACTGTTCCTCTCCAGTTTTTACATATAGGGTATGTCACCAAACTTGGTCTTTGCTGAAAATCCAGTGACAAATTATGCTTAGTCCTCTGCCATATTTCTATAACAACTGGCTTGTTGCACAGAGAATTAACTAGATACAGTTTTGCTGGATTAACCAAAAGAGGAGGGGGAAAAAAAAAAAGAAGAAAAAAGGCAAAAAGGACTAGGTAATTGGTTGAGGTAAAATTGAAATGTTCAGTTGTATTAAAAAAAAAAAAATCCCTGATGCTTCTCAGTATAGATGCCGTAATGTGTAGCTCAGCACAGGAGCTGTGCCCCCAGGTAGTTTTGTTATCTCGTACCTTTTGCAACTTGTGCTGGGTGTGTATGTTTTGAGGTTAAATTTCTTAACTTCTTATGTCACATGACTTCCATTTTCTATTTAGAGATGTTAAGCCATGAACCTTCTTGTTCAGTGCTTGTGCACATTATCAGTTACATGCAGATCACTCACTGGATGCTTTATTTTTCAATGTTTTATTACTTTGTCTTCTATGTATAGTGTTTCATAGTGTGAGGGAAAGAATTGGACTTCCGAGTGTGGAAAACAGTGGTTTTCAGTAGCATCCTAGAGATCGCTTGCATCATGTTGCGTATCGTTCCGTTTGGCTCAAGTAGACAACCTCAGTTTTTTCTGTACTGCAAATTAATAATATCAAAACTGTGGAAGATCACCCAGGCATAAAATTATGAAAAAAAGTGAAAATATGAACAACTTCTTGCACTAAACTTTTTGTCCACTTTCCTTAGTGATTTAGACCAGCTGAGGAAAATTAAACGACGAAGCCCCCATGATGACACCGAGACTTTCACTGTGTACCTGAGATCAGATGTTGAGGCAAAGTAAGAACATTTTTATGAAGGAAAATGTTTGGATCATTTAAAATGGATTATATGAGAGAGAGAGAAAAAAAACACCTTTAAAAATCAGGTTTCCAATGTGAAAGGGCAATAATGTTTTCCATTTTCTATCTGAACACATTTTATATTGTCATTATTGTAATAATTACATGGTGTATATAAAACTGGAGGTTATGTTTTATGTGTGCAAAGATTAAGCACTTGTCTTCAGCCCCCTCATGCCCAACTTTTTATTCTGTAAAGTAGTCTACCTGGCTTCTTATCAGAAAGAATGATGTGATGTTCTGCTTTTAGGAGAGGCATTTGTAATGTAGTCAAACTGAATAGAAGTTGCATAAATGGAACCATTGTTGAATTACTTCTACTCTGTGCAGGTCTCTTGAAGTTTGGGGTAGTCCAGAGGCTCTTGCTAGGGAAAGAAAACGACGTAAAGAGGCAGAGATCAAGTACAGAGAAAGTGAGTATAGAATTTTCAGAGAACTTCAAATGTAAACAAGAAAGTATGATTGTTAGAAATCCACAAGGTGGTGTGTTATTTCATTGAGAGCATACAAATTTGGAATTAGCAAGTGCTGATAAGGCTTTATAGCATAGTGTTAGAGTAACACATTACTATCTATGCAGATTTAACCTGTTACTATCTTAAAATTTATAATGTAATATAGCAAGAATATACATTCAGTTGAGATCTGTAGTCATACTTTGCTTTTTGGGGGGAGTTGTTTCAATTTTTAGATTACAATTAACATCTTGAGTGGGTTTGGATTTTTTCACAGAGAAGTTTGAAAAGACTTAAACCCAATCCAAATCTTTATAACATACTCAATGTTACTCATTTATTTTTCCTCTGAAATGAGTTCAGGTTACCCTTGTGCTTCAGAAAGGGGGGAAATGCGCTCAAATTACCTTTTTGCTTAAAATTATTGTCGTCATCCTTGCTGGTATTTTCAATAACACGTACAGTCAAATCAGTAGTTGGTAATGAATTTTTATCTGTCTAGTCAGTTAAAATTACAGGAGAGGCAATATTGCTTCAAGGTACTTGTTCCAATTATGCACCTTAAAATCAGAGGTATTTTAATTTTGTTTTTGAAACAGTTGTGCCACTGAAACACTCTCCTAGTAAAAAGCCTAGAGCTGCAGGCACTTGTTAAGGTACCTGTAAGTGTTTGTACTGAGAGTGCAGTCAGTAGCTTCAGAATTTTTAGTGACCAGCAAAGTAATTCGTGGACATAACCCAAAAAATGAGATTGAAAAAATACTACTCAGTCATAATAGCATACTGAAACATTGTATGCTTGAAGTGGTAACTTCCATTTTTTACAGGCTATCCTTGTACTCTACTGGCTGTTTTAATCTGTTTAAATTACTGTATACAATGTATTTTGTATAACTTTGTAGGGGAGAATCTAGTGCTACAGCTTCTAGATACTGTAGTACACTGATGTTTATCTTGAAGTTACTGAACTTCATTAGTGGGTGGAAAAATACTGATGCTAAGAAACTTACTTTGAAGCATCCTTCCCTCTCTCTTGTGTGGTTAAGGGGCAGGAGGGAGGCAGTAGAATGCCTGGATTTGGTGCAGTGTATTTTGAGTTTTTCCCTCTGTGTGTCATCCATCCTTTGTTGTTAGAAATGGCAACAATGTATAGGATCATAACAGATTGTATTTAGCATTTTGCATGAGTATGTAACAATACGTGTTTCTGTTTAACAATACCAGGAGAAGAGTTTTTTCACAAAGAAAGATAGACCATATAGGTCTTACTAGAGGTTGGCTGCTGCATAAAAAGAATAGATTTCAGTTCCTGAAACTACTGGTTACTAGTTCGTATTCATGATAACAATTTTGTATTGCAGAGCTATTTAGAAATCAAAGGCTGTTGAGGGAATACAAGGAGTTCTTTGGAAATACTAAGGTAAGAGATGTTTTAAAGGCTTTGGATAGAAAAATGCTATGAGATACACTATGACACCTTTTGAAGGAAAAAGTGAAATGGTTGCATAAGCTTATCTAACTGAATATTATTGGAAGATGTATTTGTAAGATACCAGATCTATCTCTGATTGTAATGCAGTGGCAAATGTTATGATGCCAGTTTAAATGGGTTCCTAATGTGGAAATATAATCCACCAGTAAGTTTTTTCAGTGTTTTGTTTTGTTTTTGTCTTTTTTTTTTTTTTTTTCAGTCAATTGCCTACTTATTAACAAAATTGCAGCTATATTTGTGATTTCATCTATGGCTTCTAAATATGCTGTTATTTTAAAGAAATAAAGTAGGTTTCCTAAGGAAAAAACCCCAACACATTAACTCTTTGCTTTATGCCCTACTGGCCCTTCCTTTTTGCTTAAGCAGACCCATTGTGGGTGCTCTGCTATGGTATAACGATTTCTTAATTTTTCTGCTGCACAGCTGGCTCCTGTCCTTATGGTTGCAGTGGCCCCTGCTGGAGGCTTTGTTGGTTGTTTATCCTTTTTATAGCCATCCGTTTGTAGAAATGTGTAAGACCCAATTGCGTTTTGGGTGAGCATTCAGTAGTAAATTGGAAGGCTTCAAGGACTGTAGCTTTACTTTTGTAATATAGGTAAATGCAAAGTTTTTATTTAATAATTCGTATGGTAGGTCCTTCATGAGGTCACTATTTGGTTATTTTATTTTAATAATCTCTTATTTCTTTATCTAGCCACGCTCCAGTGCAGCAGCTATGTTTTTCAAGGGACCAGGGAAGGTCGTAATGGTAGCTATTTGCATGTAAGTTTAAAAAAATAAATGTTTTGCTTCTGCAAGTATAAAGCAATTTATTTTTATTATCTTGGAAATGAGAACAGTGTGTGTATTCAAGCTAAAGATACCCGTGTCTTTGTAACTGAAGGTGATAGATTTGTTTATTCATTGTTGATGGGAGAGTTTAGGAACTCTGATCAGTACAGAGAGATCAGGAATAGAATATATGTCTGATCAGAGAAAAGCAAATTTTTTTGAAGTTGATCAGAATAAACAGTTCATTAAAGTAAAAACTAAAATTTTGAAGGATGTGGAGAGATAGGCATCTAAAGTTGTCCTTTTTTCTTGCTCCTTGAGAGGAAGATTTTAATACGTTTTAAACAATCTAACCAACAGAAAATAACTTGCTTTTCTCTTTCTGCTGTTATTCAACTCTTTTTCTTTAACTGAAAAGGGGATATTTTAGGAGGTTTTTGCCTTTCACATGTCTTATGAGTTGGAGTGAAACAAATCTAAATTTAATGATCCTGATTTAAAGCAAATGAACACACTGGCAACTCTCATGAATCACACAGAAGTATGTTAAGTTTCTCTCAAGAAATGATGGCTAAAATTTACTTGCCATAAAATCTGTGAATTTGAAAAAATTTGATTTTACAAAAGCTATTTATTTGCTAATACAGTATTGATGTAAGGGAGCAAAATAGAAACATGGGGAAAATGCTTTTTTGGCACAGAAAACATTTTGAGCAGGAAATAACTCTGAGTTTTCCTACAAAATCATATGCATTTTGCTTGGGGGAAAAAAAACACAAAGCGTATTTGACTGAAAACCTCCCTCTAAGTATTCTACTAATAACTATTCAGAGCTTTCGAAGTTAAAAACATATAAGAACTACTGGTATGGATGTTTCTAATGGAAAGAAAAAAAATAAAAAAAAGAAGAGATGTTGTTCTGTGGTCACTTCCACCTCCTTCACTTTCTTACAGTGATCTAGAGAAACAGACCTTTCCTCCTGCTTTGTAAATAGGGCATTGCTATAACAATTACACTCTCTTCATTCATAAATACCTTTTGGATGCTTAGGTACTTTTATAGATGGATGCCTGGCAGCCATGCCAGCAGAAGTTTGTAGAAACTGTTGCATTGCTCAGTCATCTTTTTGTGGAGCTTTTTTACAAGTTAAAGGGTCTCCTGGCCCTCAAATACCTGATGACTTTTCAGAGATTTAAGTCAAGATGACGATCAGTGCTCCATTGTTTGTGGCCCTGATCTTCTTGACATCAGTATGATTTTTAATGGCTTCTGGTTTTGAGTCAAGAAAGGCAAATCTATCTTAACTTCTCCAGTTGGAATGATTTGGTAGACTTTTCACAAACTTCAGGTTTCCTCAGTGAGGATGAAATGTTGTTCAATCAAAAGCAGAGCTCTTCTCTACGGATCCACATGTGAGGGTATAGACCAGCTGCACTGGTGCGCTCTATGTGGCTTTAATAGAATTCTGTGAGTGAGGAAAAACCTGTTAGAGAAATACAGGAAGGTAATGTTTTTTTATCAAAAAGGGAATGATCTATTATTAGCAAAAAATTCTTAAGAGTCTGGCATTGTTGAAGTGATTTATTTGTCATGTTAGTGTTTTACCTTTTAAACAGTACAAAGTTTGCACGGTATGTAATATTTTTTAAAAAACAGTGGTCAAGGATGTTGGTAATGTTACTGCTTCTTTGGAAATAGATGTGATGAAATATGTTTAGTTCTCAAATCTAGAACCTAAATAGAAGATTTTTTTCCATAGATTCATAGTGGATCTGAATATTTTCAGTTTGATTTTTTTTTTTAATTTTGACATCTATTTTTTTACCGTTCTTTTTTCAAAAGCCTAAATATTTTATGTAGGTAGACAGGGATGGTTGTGTAAATCAGACCAGTTCCTTCTAGATCATATCTTATGCTGCGAGGTAGAGTATAAAAAGTGGGAAATGACATAATGGTACAATTCCCTATATATGTTTCTCAATTCCCCATAATTCTTCTTCCCCCTATACATCATGGGGCCTTGGGGTGGTTATCTTTGAAACATAAATATGTAAAAACAAGTAATAATGCCCTTTAATTTTTTCAAGTTTACAGTTCAGTCAGGATCGATTTATTTGAATTGTAATTTAAATTGTTAAGTTAGGAGCCTTGATTTGAAAGATTGATTTTCATCTACTTTTGTATTTGTGTATTTTTGGTGGGTATTTTTTTTTGTTGTTTTTTTTTTTTTTTCCCAAGAAAGACTGATTCTGTTCATGTATCAGTACATTTTAAAAATACCAATCAAATTTAGACTTTACACTAAAACTGACAAAACTTCTGACATCTGGGAAGATTGTCTTTCAACTTTTTTTTTTTTTTTTTTTTTCCCATTTTGTTGGTGAATGCCTCCTATGTAGACTTTGGAGTACAGTAATAAACAGTTGTGTTGAGTGAGACTGCTTATTTTCTAGGTGCTGAAGAGGCTTCTTAGAAAGTGCTGTATAGTTGTAGGTTTAATAAGCAAGAGAATTGTACCTAATGAATCATGTTGGGTTTTTTTGTTATTTCTTTCAGATCTTTTTCAGGCTCTACCTAGCTTTGGTTTAAATTCTGTTAAAATTTCCTACTCTTTTAGGTCTGTGCAGATAGAAATGAGGTAGCTAAATCAATCAGTTCATTCAGTTCATTTCAGTACAATGGGGAAAGTACTTTCTCAATTGGTGGACTCTTATGTAAAAGATAACTTTGCTTCAAGCTGATTCAGAGTATTTTAGCTGCCTTCTCAGAATCTGCTGGGTCTGGATTATTTTTCCTCTGCTGTTTAAAATTTTTGTAGTGTATCTGCAACAGAATTCAGGCTTTCATAGAGCTTATTATTTTCAAATGCAGTAGTGAATTTGTTTTTTAAAGCAATTCCTATTTTACTTGCAGTAAAAACCTGACTTTACTCGCTGTCCCATCCTGTGCCCCCCTGTCCCCCACCCCTCCACCCCTTCGCCCCCCCTCCACCCTTCATCCCTCCTCACAATTTTTATCCAGTCTGACAGGAAACACAGAATAGCCTTGATGGCTCTGTAGACTCACTAGGTTTTTTGTAATTATTTCCCGTGTAGCACACTTCGTCTTTCTGTCCTATGTCTCCATCTTACTGGACATCATTTAAAGGTTGATTTTGCTGGGCCTGATATTTGAAAATCTTAGTGTGTTTTCTTCTTAGATTTCTAGGATGTCAAATCGCCCCACAAATTTGGAATTTGTAGGGGTGAAATAAAATACCAGCTGAGTGCCTGTTGTGTCATCTGAACAGGTGGGGGCCCCACAACTGAATTGTATCTTCAGATAAGCTGTCAACTCCATTAATACAACATTGAGAAGAACAATACAAAAGTTGAGAGACTGTGCTCATGAATCCCACTGTAATTTATTCCGTTTTCTTTCTATGCTAAAGATGCATTATGCTGTGAGTTGGAAGAACTTGTAATTAACACAGGGAGTTTAAATTATGGTTTAGTGTTACAACAGCGTTCCTTTCTTCTTGGGTTATCCACTAACTTACGCATTTTCTTTTCACTTTCCACCTATAAATTATGGTGATGCTTCACCATTTCATGGGGTAATGAGACTAAATTAAATATTGTAGAGCATGTTCAGATCCTTGGATAGAAGGGAGGTGTAGAAAACAGTATTACCTCTTGCTTAAAGATGTGGATGTACCCTCACAGAAATTCTTTAAGGATGAGCTTGGGAATGAATGTTACTTAATCAACTGTAGAATTTGGTGTATGGCAAGGGGCTGGACTTGTGCTTCCTCTAAATATAATTTATTGGCATGTGGTTGTTTGAAAATGGAACTACAAGATGTTGTTAATACTTATTTATAAAACTTAATTTGAATACTTTTAAAAATTGCCAATAAGCTAAACTCATATATTAAAAAAGATTGAAGAGGATGTTATAATCCTCCTGTCTGATTTTCTCTGCAACAATGATTGTAACAGTTAACCTACTGATTCTGATAATGAATGTTTGAAGTGAGAATGTAGTCTTGTATCTTGGCTCTGATTGTTATCTTTCTCTGTACAACATAACACAGTGCTTAACTCCAGTGAGCTCATAACCTAAAAAAGACTTGACAAGTCACACTGGACATCTTAATGGAAAAGTTTCATAGATAATTTTTACAGCGTGATCTAATGACAGCAGCCTTGTCTTCCTGTCTGTTGTCTTACGTTTGTATCCTACTGGGGATTGCACAAGGTGAGTCTGAAGTGGGGAACCCTGCACTCCAGTATTAGGAGGGATGTATAGGAGGCAAAGGATTGAAGAAAAAGAAAAGGAAACAGTTAAGGCTTTTATACTCCTGCTGGTAGGCATTTAGTTGTTCTGAGTAGTGAATGTGATGCTAGTATTCAGGAAATGCAATTTACTCAGAATTGCTTAGAAGTTAGAATTTTGGAAACATAAATTGTGTATCTTTACGTATCAAGTGTAGCTGAAAGGGCTTTTTAACAGTAACCATGCAGAAAATGTGTATGCCTTATCTGCCTGTACAGGTCTCTAATGGTTAAACTGATACTTGATTTCACCACTTGCAGGCAGGTAACGCATGATTATACAGCATTTGTGGTATTGCTGAAAATATTAAACACCAAATATTCTGTTGTCTTTAGCTTATTTCTTCTCTTCATTTTCAGAAATGGGTTGAATTTTTTCTTTAAGCTACTTGCTTGGGTTTACACTGGTTCTGCAAGTATGTTTTCAGAAGCCATACATTCTTTAGCAGACACATGTAACCAGGTGAGTATTTTTTTCCATTCTGCTGAAGTTAGCACTTGTAATAATTTTTCAGGAATAAAGACATACTTCCAGTAGTTGTATTACACTTGAAAGCAATAATTCAGTCTACTAGTGTTAGTCTCTATATAGTAAACACCAGAGAAATGAAAACAGTATTTTATTTAGGACTAGAACGCATGGCGAAAGTTTGCTCATGGAGAACGTCGACATTGTAGAGAAGCCTAGAAATTCCAAGTTTATTAGCCGTAACTCTGAGTAAAAATGATTCTCTGTGAGAGTCTGTGAGTGCTGTGGTGTGTATTTACAGTGCTCTTCCTGTTCAGTACCCGTGATCATTTTTGTTCTGTTCTGTATGGTCTACATGCTTCCTAGAATTAATAGTAATATATTCTAGGTGGAAAAAAGCTAATACTTAATCTAATGACCATTTAAATAATTTTGAGGCAAAACAGTCTTAAAGGTGTTTTTTAAGTAAACAGGTTCATCTTGGAGAAGGTGTTTTTCTGTTTTACTTTATTATTAAATAATTTTTTGTTTAAGTCATTCAGATTACAAAGCCTGACCAGAGTGTGGCAAACTCTTTGTGCACGCAGTGGGAGGAAGATATACTCTTTTCCCTGTGTAGGATAAATGTATGGTTTTTTAGCTTCCCAGAGACAAAAGCCAATCTCACTTACAAAGCAATGTTATTGTTATATACAGTTTTTGTTAAACTGTAGACAGACAAAGGCATATTTTGTCAGAAAGTCACATTACTGTAGAAATATTGCTAAGACCAGACCTCTTCCTGCTGTTCCCTAATCTGAGTGCAAAGATGCTCTTACTGTGTTGCAAATTTACTCGCCAAAATGAGTGGTTTCAACTAGTGGTTTCTACCAGTTTATCTAGCTGCTCTTTTATTTTTTTATATTGATGGCGGTAATTTGATGGAAGATTTATAAGCGAACAGTAAAATAACTGACCTAGTCTAGAAGCTTTAAATGCAGAAGGAATCTAGAAAGAGTCACCTGTAATTATAAGGAAAATCTATTTGAATGGTGTTTGCACTAGTATTTCTGCTAATGTAATACTATTTGTAATACATCTACATTATTTCAAACAGCCTGCCCCAATTACTTCTGTTCTTCTTTTCTAAACTATTGGTTTTTCATATAGATTGTTCCATACTTCAGTTGCAATTTATTTTCCTTACAACTGTCAAGATGAAAGTGTACCAAAAAAGGTTAAAAGGGCTACAATATTAGTCAAATATACGAACATTAGGAAATAAGTCCCAAGACAGGTTTAATTTTGTTTGTCATGATTCATAAGCATAATGTGACCAGCCTTATCTTTAGGAAGTGATGTCAGAACAAGATCTCAGTAATTTGGGTTACATGTTCATTCCTCTCTGCCTTGCTCCCTGTTCCTCCTGGACAAGAATGATGTCTTGGTCATCTTAAAGTATTATTGAGTGACTGTCCAGAAAATAAAAAAAATAAAATGGGTGGTTTTTAATTTGTATTAATGTAAGAATGAGACAAGTCAGAATGCAGATTCTGAAGATTGTTTTAGAAATGAGTTGAAAGGATTTGTAGTAAGCAGAACTCAGCTACTTTGTGGATCATAAGAGGGACTTGAAACTTAAGACATCAGTCTTACTTCAGTCTCGGGGAAAGTTGTGGAATTAATCCTCCTGGGGGCTGTCACAGGTTAAATGAAGCATGTGGTTGGGAATGGATTCACCAGGGCAAACTTTGCTTGACAAACAATCACCTTCTGTGACTAACCTGCTTGGTTGATGTGGGGTGAGTGGTGGACATTGTCTACCTGAATTTCTCCAAGGGTTTCGATACAGACCCAACAGCTTCCTCCTAGAGAAACTGGTACTTTACAGTCTAGACAAGTGGTCTGTGCGGTGGGTGGGGAACTGGCTGACAGCCTGCACCCAGAGGGTGCTGGTAAATAGCTCCTTTTCCAACCAGCAACTGGTCACAAATAGGGTCCCACAGGAATCAGTGCTAGGCTCAATGCTATTTAGCATTCCTAGAGAAACTAGTGTTTATGTGTATGGTGTGTCAATTTATAGGTGAAACAAGTTTGATAGTAGTATTATCTACCACTTGTATGTGGAAGAGGTATTCTGTTTTTCACATGTGAAAGTTAAATGTTCCACTGGAAACACTGGGAGTGTTCTGCTCAAGTTTCGGGTATGGTCTTTTGGCAAGAATGCAGGAGAAACCTTGCTGCCTCAAAGCAGCGTGCTGCTGTGAAGACTAAAGTGTCTAAATTTTAATACTTTTGATTATGTTTCAGTAATTCATAGTCCTAAAATAAAGCATGTGCTTTGCAAAATTGATGTCTAGATTTATACGTCACTGCATCAATAGTTTTAATACATACCTAATTAAATATATCACAAACATGCCATTTAGGTAGCAAGAGGTTTTTTATTTCTTCCTTCAAAATAATTTTTTTCTTTAGTTTGTAGAATATGAAGTTCACTACTGAAAGAAGCTGCAATGTAGAACTACTGGTTTAAATGTAGTATGCCATCATCATAGTCTATAATGTCTCTTCAAGAGGCATTTTTTAAATAGCTTTGTTCCATGAGCAACTTAATTCCTTCACACTGAAGCAGAGCAATAACACTTATGATTGCATGGAATGTTCACTTTTGGTTACAATTTTAAAATCATAATTAACAGTAATTACATATGTCTATCCACACAAACTAGAGAATTACCTATACATTATATATATAGGTATAATTAACAATTTTTGGGGGGTGGTAGATTTTGATGACAAATTTTGAGGATTATATTCCAGCTCTAATAAAATAAGAGTAACAAAGCATATGTGCATATCAGCAAATTGCTTTTATCTTTCAAGTTTAGTTGATACAGGATGTTTCTATTTTTTTTTTTTTTATTTTTTTAACAAAGATTTTTCCCTTTTGTCCTAAATAGGCATTGCTAGCTTTGGGCATCAGCCAGTCTGCAAGGACACCTGACCCTAGTCATCCGTAAGCTTTATGAGTAAATAATGATTTTGGTATTTATATATAGGAGTAAGATCTGTTCTTGTTTGTATGTCACCTTGCTCTTTTTAATCCTCTGTTTCATATTTCTGAAATGCATCGTTTCTGATTTTTACAATAGATAAGAAAGTATTTCCAAACTGCAGGAGTTGTAGCTTCAGTGGCTTGATGCATGTTCTATTTAATGATTTTTTTTGTGTCATGCTTTTTGATGTGTATTATTTTCATTGACATTTTTTCTTCAAGTTATTCTGGGCTCTTCTGTCTCTTTTGATGGATAGATTTACTTTGTTTTTAAACACTGTTCATATGAACAACAGGATTTTTTAAAAATAAAAAAAGCTGTCTTCCTATTTTCAACAAAGTGCTTTTGTGCAAGACAGCTATTTGTATCATAAGGAGTTGTGTTTCACTTAAACTACTCTTTGTTTTTATCTGAGTAATAGGGATATTATTGGTAAGTTCTAACAACTTCATGAAAGTTAGAAGCTGTACTCTATGATATTTTCTTGGTGTTGACCTGCTTCATGCTTCACATGTTTGGGAAGTAATACCAGTTCCAAATATGTCTAATTTACAGAATTAATAAAGCTTTTCTTTATTAAGAGCATCAGGTAATTTGAAAAATATTTTAATCTTAAATTTGCCTAAATATTCATTGTATTTCCTTCCCCTCCCATATTTTCCTTTATTCTTCAATATAGTCTTTTGTATTATTGGTTTTTAAATGTTGCTAAAGAAATGTACTGTCTGTAGTAGCAATTAATACAAAAAAAAAGGAATAAAAGTACGCATTTAATACAGCTTTAGCTCTTCCCACTGCTCTTAAAAACTGCAAGTGTTGAATATCTGCAGTTAGCTGAACTACTTAAAGATGTTACAGATTTGTGATTCTCCCCCTTTATTCCGCTTGGCCTCTACTCTGCTCTCACGAGACCCCACCTACAGTACTCTGTCCAGCTCTGGGGCCCCCAGAGTAAGGACATGGACCTGCTCAAGTGGGTCCAGAGGAGGCCATGAAGATGATGGGGGGGCTGGAGCACCTCCCTTACAAGGACAGGCTGAGAGAGTTGGGGTTGTTCAGCCTGGAGAAGAGAAGGCTCTGGGGAGACCTTATAGTGGCCTTCCAGTACTTAAAGGGGGCTACAGGAAAGATGGGGAGGGACTCTTCATCGGGGGGTGTAGGGATAGGACAAAGGGTAACCATTTTAAACTGAAAGAGGGTAGATTTAGATGAGATATAAGGAAGAAATTCTTTACCGTAAGGGTGGTGAGCCAGTGGCCCAGGGTGCCCAGAGCAGCTGTGGCTGCCCCCTCCCTGGCAGGGTTCAAGGCCAGGCTGGACGGGGCTTTGAGCAACCTGGTCTGGTGGAAGGTGTCCCTGCCCATGGCAGGGGGTTGGAACTGGATGATCTTTAAGGTCCCTTCCAACCCAAACCATTCTATAATTCTGTGAAATTTGATTCCCTTTAAATTAGCCTTGTAGGCAGCCAGTTGACATATTTTATAAGGCTAGAGTTTTCATTTAGAGGTAGTATTTCAGTAAAAGTCACATGAATTATGTTGTTGGTTTTGTTGTTTTTTGTTTTTTTTTTTTTTTTTTTTTACAGTAGTAAAATCCTCAGTCTCTGCACAAGAGCTAATACAGCTGTGTAAATAACTTGTTTAAAAATGAATTAGAAAAATGGCTGTGTTTGATGTCCTTGCGTGTACTAGATATCCTTTTCCAGGTGTCTTTTTTTCCCTCTTGGATTAGGTTGGATTTAGCAGCTTTGTCTTAAATTGATGCCCAGTCATATGATGATAATTTAAGACATGTAAAAATCAATGGAAAAAACTTGTAGATATGTTTACAGAGATAGAGAATCTTATTTTCCTAAATCACTTTCTTTGTTTTCATCTAGGTATGGTTTCACAAACATGCGTTATATTGCCTCCCTGATTAGTGGGGTGGGCATTTTCATGATGGGTGCAGGACTTTCTTGGTATCACGGGATCATAGGTTTACTCCACCCTCATCCTATAGAATCTCTTCTCTGGGTAAGCTAATCTTGTTTCATATTGAATCTAATACTAGTGATGTAATAGAAAGTAGTGACACAGTGTGAAGTTCACTTTCTGAGTCAGTATGAAACCTGGCACAATTAACTCTAACCATCCCTAATGAGAGTATGTTTTAAGAAAAACACCCGTTAAACTATAGCTGATCATATAGCAAAATGAGCTGTTATTTAACCCCCGAATCTTCCCTTCACACCTCCCAAGAGGGCCTCCTTTCCTATTTTGCAATATATTGCATGATTCATATATTGTTGGTTGCCTTCTGTTTAGGGACAGCTACACAGCCCAGTGGGTAATGAGGTTCTGGAATGCTGTGTTTGGATAGTCTGTGGTGAAGAGATCTGTACAAATATGCATATAACATAATAATTGAGACTTTTTTTTTATACAGGCATACTGCATTTTAGCAGGGTCGTTGGTATCTGAAGGAGGTATGCAGTTTCCAGAAGTATTTCTGTTTAAGTATTAGTAATCTCTAAGAGAACTGTGAGTAATGGCAGTAATAATTAGTCCTTGCTTACACAGTCAAGTTTTGAGCTCTGTTGCAAATACCTGTGTTGTAAACAAACAAAAAAAAGTGGGAAACCTTTTTTTCTTACCTGTCTATATAATAAGAAGTTGAAGAATACATAATTTGGAAAGCATACATAGAATGCCTTTTTGATATTAAACTATCAGTGAATATAACTGTTCTGATTTGTATGGGAGACACACACGTAGAAGAGAAGGTAACTTTATGCTTTGTCATTATTCAGATTATCAATAATCAGAGCTTTCTTGATGACCTGTTGCTATGATATAAAGTTCCCTCTTTTCAAAATGGAAACGAGTCTTTTTGCCTCTAACCATTTTCAGCAACTACTTTGGTGTTGTTTCAGCTACCCTTCTTGTTGCTATAAATGAGATTCGCAGGAGTGCTCGAGCCAAGGGTCTGTCATTTTATCAATATGGTATGTGTCATTATAGCAATAAGGTATGTGGTTATGTAAAACAGAATCTATTTACCAGTGTTTGCATAATGATAGAAACAATTTTATCTGTTTTCCTTTTCCCCTTGCTTTACTGATCTGTTTTCTATTATAGTAACAAATACATTTTATAAATCAGGTGAAAACCTGTTGATTTAAGTAACACTACTTAGATATTTTTACTAAACTAGTTGCATTATTCAGGATAAATGCCACTTTACATTTTTCAAATATTTTGAAAGAGCTTCCATAATTGGCACAGGGCTTGTTCTGTGTATTTATGAATGCTTTCAGAAGTGTGTGCATGTGCAAACATTCAGTATATACCTATATACTAATGGAAATTTTTCTTGTAAGTTAGTTGCTGGTGTTAGTGTAGTTTGTTAACTACTGTGCATAATGTAGTAAAGCTAAGCTTTCCAAAGCAATGTAATTTCTTTTGTTGTATACGCAGTTGTGCAGAGTCGTGATCCTAGTACAAATGTGGTGTTACTAGAGGATGCTGCAGCAGTTCTGAGTGTGGCCATAGCTGCTACCTGCATGGGTCTGACTTCTTTAACAGGTAAAATTCTGCCTCAAACTGGGGCAAGCAGGATGTGAATTTCCTCCTGTGCATGATATGAACACAGAGCATTTAGTTTATATTGGTTGACTTAAATACGTCTCTACTCTTTTTCTGATAATTGTACTATGTTAGCCTCTGGAAATTTATACTGTTGTCTGATCTGTTTTCTAGTAATTTGAGTTGAAAATACTTAAAGTTTTTTTTCATGTGTTTGTTATTGGTGGGGTTAAGTTTAAAAGAGTACACACAGATGGGTCTGACTTCCTTTTGAGGTATGTTGTCGTGCAAGCTAAGGTGTTTTTTACTAAAGGTATATTTACTGTAGGCAGTTATATAAATCACTTTTTTTCATGATGGGATTACATAATTTGAGCTTCCTTATTCAGTGGTGTGCAGCTAGCTCCATGTGCATGTGGGGAGGATTTAAGGAAGCAGTTCTTTTCTTCCTTTTGATATATAGTGGTATTAGTGTTATCTTCAGGTTACGATAGCTGCTACTGAAAAGTGTGGCAAACCTAACTCATGCAGGTAGGATGATCTCTACATGGCAACTGATTCAAAGTCTTTTCTTTCACAGATGAGTTTTTTAAAGAGGAAAGATTATTCGTCCCTTTTTATGTATTGGCTTTGGCTTTTCAATTGTTAAATAAATATGGTAATTTTGTTTCTTTGTGGCTTCTAATGAGTTAATTGCAAGTTTCATTTTTTTTATACAGAAATCAATTTTTTATTCCCTCTCTAATTTCCTTCATAAACTTAAAAATACATTACTGTTTTTGCAAATCTGCATGAACACATAAGTATTGTATTCTAGAAATGGTTAATACTTACAAGTTTTTGAGTTGCTGATAAAAGAACACAGACTTTTGTGCTACTACCTGTGTTTAGGCATATATAATTCTATATTAAAAAAGGTCAGTCTGTACACAGAAAACCAAGTAGCTGACAAGAGTTTACTCATTTATTAGTCCTACAGAAGACAGGAGTGGCTGAGGGACAAGAGGGACTTGAAGCTTTATCTTAACATAACTCGTTTTCTTCCAGCTTCATCTTATTCCTCAGTAGAAGAGAATTGCCAGTGCATTAAAAAAAAACGTCAAACAAACTTTAAAACAAACAAACAAAAAAACCTCACCAAAACCCCCCCAAACTATGTATTCCTTTCAGTGTGAAATCTGAATTTTATTTGCTGTGTTTTGGAAGTGTTCTGTGAAACTAATTTGACATGTCTTGTTTAGGAAACCCTTATTATGACAGTGTGGGGTCTCTGGGTGTTGGAACTTTGTTAGGAACTGTGTCAGCATTTCTAATCTACACTAACACTGAAGCCCTGCTGGGACGATCCATTCAACCTGAACAGCTGCAGCGACTTACTGAGTTACTGGAAAGTGATCCTGTAGTAAGGTAAGAATCTTTACAGCTCAAGCTCTACTAAGAACAACAAAAAGCAGGAAAATGACATTTGGAAAAAATAGTTCAGGCACATTAAATGAGAGAAATCTGATGAGATTGAGTATTTTTAGGGTAGATTCTTCTGTACTGAGATTTTAGAATCTTAATTATTATTAACTTCTATTTCTGTGCTAAAAATTTCAGTAAGTGAATACTCGTACCACTCATGTTCCACAGCTGATATAAAATTGCAAATATGTTCTAAGTTACATTAATTACAGAAGTTGACAATGCCATAATGAGAAAGCCATCACAAACTTAAAACTATTTGCAAATGCATGAAATTCATGCACTTAAATGATACTGTAATGTTACATTTGTAGTTTATTAGCACTTAAATATTTAAATTCTATTACTGTTAATATTCAGTGTCTGTAATTCTGTAGCAGTTGGAAGTGAAGTGCTGCAGTAGTATTGTGATGTAATAGATTCTGCATGTTAGACGCTTACAGAATGAATCAATGCTAATTTCTCTTTGGAAATGTACAATTTGTAGTGAGATATACTTTTTGTAATTCTGAAATCTTGTTTAAATGCTTTTTAAGGAACTATTTTAGTTTTAACCCTATTAACCTTGATTTAGAAGCAAAATCCTTTTTGTTTTCTTCTTAATCTTTATTCAGGATTATATCTCTGTGTAAATTGGCTGGAATATTTTAGTGCTTTTTTTACTTGTAATCATTACTGAGCTCTGGAGGGAAAAAATCAAGCCCATTAGTTAACACCAGAAACCTTGAAAGAAACTAAGTGCTGCATCATCTCAGTTGCAAGCAACAGGTCTGAATGACATGCCCTTCATTCCAGAAGCTAAACAAGATTTGGAATAGAATTGTGTTAGAATTTTCACATGTCAGTAACTAAACTCTGTTAAAGTATTTGCGGTGGCCCTGGAATAGTCTGAATGGTGGAATGTGTGTCAACAGTGCTGTGTTGGGGTAGGTGAGTTCACAGGGTTATTTGTACATGGCTTCTGTAGTTCTTTCTTCCAGAGTGCACAGGTGGCTTTTGCTTGCCTCAGGCTGGAATCATAAAATTTCTCCTATCCCAAGCACCATTTTACGTTATATTCCATTTTGTAGATGGCTATAACTTTTCAACAGAGCAGATTTAGTTAATCTTCTGCTTGCTGTAGACATTTCTTTAAAACAGGAAGTAACAATTTTTAAAAAGCACAAAGAATAAAAAAAAGGAAGACTCGCTAAGAAACTGCATGTTTCTCTTAAGGTTAGAAGCTGAAATATGTTTAGGTACTTCTCATAACAGATTTTGCAGGACCATCTGTATGCACTTAGTCTTGACTGATCTCTTTCTTAGATCCTTACTTTATCCACTTTGTTTTCTTCTGGCGCACACTTTGTCCTTGACCAACTTCTTGTAGCAAGCCTAATATATTGAGCTTGGGTAACTTACATCTTCTAATAAAACACCTGGTCTTGATGTCAGAATTCTCTGAAATGTAAATGTATATTACCCTTGCTTGTAACTAAGCATAATTTTGGGAAAAAGCTACTCGTAATTTTTTTTTCTTATTCCAACCTTTGATTAGTTATTTTTTTTTGTTTGTTTTCAACTTTTTCTTGTGAAATAAGGACGTCTTTTAGCATCAAGTATTTCTTCAAAAGGCTACTTGTACATCTTTATCAACATAGATTTGGACTTGTAAATATTTCAGCACTTTCTTGAACATTCATCCTCTCCCATTTTCATAAACAGAGTTGTCTAGTAGTATGTCCTACTCTTGCCTTTTTTCTATTTACACCAAATGTAAAAGAAAAAGCTCCTGAGTACTGGTCTGCTTCTAAAGCTGTGACTAATATTTGTCCTTTTTATTTCGACCTTTCAGGGTTTTCATCTATCAAGCTTTGAGTTCTCAATGCAATCCTTTTTGTAGTTGTTGCTTCCCAGAATAGTCCTCCTTTGTTCTTTCAGGGAGGCTTTGGAATCTTTATTTTCAGATATGTTCTGCCAGATATGAAGGGGATATATTAAGGAATCATTTAGTATTCATCAGAAGATCTTTCAGATCCAAATTGACCAAAGGATCCGGAGGCTCTGATTTCTGCTCTCCCCTGCCCCTGTCAGCACTACCACCACACTTACAATTCCAGCAGTAGCTTGCTTGAACATCATGTTCTGCTGCTAATTATAAAGCAATTGATTTATCAGACAGTACTGACTGCTATACTACTAAAATAAATAATCTGTGGTGTTGATCTTTTTGTCAGATAAATCTTGATTTTTGGTTTTTTTTTTTTGAAATACAGAATTGTTTGACAAGACCTACATTCTTTAAAACTGTAATGACTGGAATTGACACTTCTAATATATTATTTTTTTCCCCACCTTTTTCACTATTTTCCCTTGGGTTGTCTGGTGAAGCTGTCTTTAGTTAAATGTATTGCCTCATTTGCTGTTCTTAAATTTTGGCACAGTCTTGTTAATCTACTCTTTATTTTTTTTTTGATTCTCATCAGTATTGCAGGATGAAAAATCAATTGGCCTTCACAGTTATTCTTAGTTCTTTTCACTCTTGAAGGCAAGTTACATAGCTTGCTGATTTAGAAGCATTTTGTTCCTTTTAAATATCTAGTATGCTTCTCTGCTACTAATAGGGAAATGCTTTGTTGTACTAACATATTGTTTTGCTTTTTTAGATCAAGAAAACAGTGATTATTGCATGTTCCTTACTATTCTGTATCATCAGTAACAATTCTACTATTTCCATCTAGTAGCAGGCTTGTTTCCAGGTTATCCTTTGATTTTACTATACTTAAAAAATGTTGGTTTGCATCACACACAGTGCCCTTTTTTACTCTTTTCCTATTAATTTGCTGGACTTCATAATTTCTTTTTTAGTCTCATGGCTATTTATTTCCCATTTCCTTTAACTTTGCTTGCTAATTTCTAGTTGTAGCCCTTATTTAATTTGTGATCCAGAATGGACTTTCAGTCAGAGTTTTCTCAGTTGGAAAAGTATTTAATTTTATTTTTTGCTATACAAACATTCCATTCTTAATTCTTATTCACACTGTGATTGCCTAAATCTTTCTTGTGTTCAGCTTAACTGAAGTGTAGGAGATTAGGCTTTCAGAACTGTGAAATCAAATATATCATGTGGTACAGAATGTCCTGGTTCAGTTCTTGTGGAATGTAATCTCGGATTCCTAGGCCATAAACTATTCTAAGTGACAGTTTAATCTTTAATTTTTACTTCATTGTAACAACTATTCAGTAATTGTGCTACTGTTGTGCTGGAAAATCTGTCATTCTCATTTGGAGGAAAAAAAAAAGTATTATAACTGATGGCTCAAAATCAGTAACTTGATGTCCTCTGACAAATTTTTCTTTAACGTGAAACTTGCTCTTTTCCCTAGTGTGAATTGATGGTGTCTACTAGCCATCCAGAAGCTTCCATAAGCAAGCTTTGTAGTTTAAGTTTTAGCATACACATTTATATTTTTGAATTGTTAGTGATTTTTCTCCTCCTGACTCACTGTCTTATCTTTCCTGGACAGAATATAAGCAGTAAGGTAGACTTCTTTTCTTCACATTTACAGTATATGCATCATTCCACAGAATTTTATCAGGTTACTGCTTAATGAGAATCTCAGATATCTCTTGTTATCTTCTTGCTTAGCTCTGATAGGCACTTGAAGTATCTTCAACATTTTTGAGTCACATGGATTCAAATTCTCTTCAATAACTCTCAATGAGCCACATCCGTTATCTTAAATACCCTCTTGTGTGAGGAGGTAGTTTGATGCTGGTTAAGTTGCTCCAGTTAATACTGTTTTGATTTGGTAGCTTCCCACAGAATATCCGTGTAAATTTGATTGGAGCTGGAATTCTTTATTGCTACCAGTAAGCCAATAGTTCTTTTAATCTGTTTAAATATTTACTGAGATGTATTTTTTGGTGTCTCTATATTTAATTCATGTTCTATTTCTTTTTTTAATGTGTTTACCCCTCTTCCACCCAAAGTATTACAAGAAATATTCCATAAACATTCCCTGTGACTGTTCATCTTAAATTTCTGCCTTGTGTTCTTTGTTGGCTGTTCACTCTAGCAGGGTATGTCTGAAATACATGCTTTCCGCTTTCTTCTTGCACTGCCCGTGAAGTTAGTTCTGATTTTTAAACATTCAGATGAGAAGAAACATTTCTAGTTGGGAAGAGTAAATTTGCTTAAGACAAAGGGCATACTAAATTTAAAGATGCTGTGAAATTGCACAACTTAGTAAAATGAAGGTCGAAAAAAAGTTTAGCACTTTCCATCAAGCGAGCTTTATTGCCGATTCTAAATTTTGTGTTAGAATTTTAAAAATTGTCGAGATTGCATTTTTCTGTTAATAAAACCAAAGTCTGGAGTATTTTATAGTTGACCTCAGATAATTATTTTCCATTGGAAATGTCAGAAGAAAGAATTTAAAAATTTGAAACTTCTTTGTGATTTATGCTCCATATTTTAGTCTCCACTTTTTTCCTGGCATAGCTGGAAAAATGTGGAAGCATTCTCTGCAATGGCAATTTTAAAGTCTACTGGGCTTTAAAGATAAACTAAATTTGTGTTAATCTATTTAGAAAAAACTTAGAGTATTTTATTTTATGATTTTATTTTATATTTATTCCACCAGTGAAATGCACCACAATATGTCTGGGTTCTGAGTTTGCCTCCTGTCTTATTATCCCTGAAAAATAGAGGCCTTTTTGTTCATTACCTGTATTCATATGTCACGGGGTTTATCTAACAAACTGGAACAGAACTATGCTATAGGAAAACAGAAGTTTTCAAAGGACCAAAATATAAGCATATTGCAACATTCATGTTCTAGCATCTATTAGGAACCTTTAAATGAATATACATTTTCAGCATTTACAAACAGCTGTATTGTGATTATTTGCAATCAATAATTCAGTACAATCAAAAATTGGTTCCAAACACAATATCCATAACTTTTTCTTATAACAAATGTAACTTTGAATAGAAGATTCTCTAAAAGATGACACCTTTACAAATTGTAGTTACCTAGGAAAGGACACTTCTGTAATTGCATTGTGTGCTTTCAGCAACTGACAATAGGTTATTGTTCCTTACCTCAGATTTGAGGGTATTTAGAGATTGGTAAATAGTGTTGTGTATGTATATGCACAGAAACTTTTGTGCAGTTGCAAGTAAGTTGAATTTAAAAGTTTTAACTCAGAATAGGGAAATTATCACTTTTTTTTTTTTTTAAATAAGTCTAGTTCTAAATGTGTGATGCTTCTTGTAGTCTGTCTTTTATTGCAGCAAGCAATTTATAGACGTGTTGGTATAGTAGATACCTGTGGAAGTGGTGTAACCAGTTAAATATAAATCAGTATTTAACAGAAGTGTGTGGTGGCAAAACAAGGATTTGTTAGTTAAAGGTAGCGGCCTTTTGAAATTATAGGATCATTTTACTGTGACGATATTGTTAACCTCAGAAGTCAAACTAGGTAGTTGTTTGTTTTATCTTGTTCTACATTTCTTTAAAAATTATGTGTTTCAGAGCAATTCATGATGTTAAAGCCACAGACATGGGAATGAGCAAAGTGAGATTCAAGGCAGAAGTAGACTTTGATGGACGGGTTGTTACTCGTTCTTACCTGGAAAAACAAGACATTGAACAGCTGCTACAAGTATGTTTAAAAAAATGATTTCGTAACTTCCAGTCTTTGGTATTTACTTTCCAATTTCAAGTATGTCTAAACCCAAGATTTTCAAGTAGGTGAGGTATATTCCACTTCTTCATTTTGAAGGATTGCAGATGTTTTTACTTCGTGTTAGCATGTTAAATATCTGTACACGGAATCGTAGTGTGAGCTGCTGAAATAGAGCCACTTCTGGGCTCAGTAGGAACTGGGTAGGAGGAGGGCAGAATTTTTTTATTCAATTTTTTGTTAGAAAAATACAGATTTGTCCAAAATAATTTTGATGAGAACGTAATTCTTCCAATAAATTTTTGTTGAATTACAAGATCTCTACTTAAAACTGGAAGCCTGTCACCTGAGAATATGGATCTGTTTTGGCAGAGCCATTTGCCTTAGGTGCTGAAGGTGCAGTGTTAGAAGGTGAAGATGCAGGTTTACAGATCCTGCTGTTTAGACTGGGCTTGAATATGGATTGCTTGCATCACATGACTTAGCATTTTGACAGCATTTAACAATTAACCACCCTTAAGTAAGCATCTCTCTCTTATTTTAGTGTCATTCAGAGTACCTTTTCTTGGTCTCTTTTAACATAGAAATGCAAAACTTCTTTTGGCTGGAATCTACATGGCAAAGCTATGCAATATGAAGGAAAGAATAATTTATCTAAGTACAGGGAGAGTTTTAAGTGGGCAAAGTGTTTTCCTTGCTTACCAATTTTCACCAGTAACTCACCTGTATACATTTGCTTGTGTACAAGATTTCTTTCTTTGCTACACTTTCAAAATGAAAAGTAGATTTCAGATGTCTGCATTTTATGTCTGTCCATTAAACATGACTTGGAAGTTATCTGAGTTTACATTTAAATTACTGCAGTTTTTTAAACCTTTTAAACCATCAGTCAGTGTCCCAGTTTTTAAAAAGTACCACCCTTTAATGTCAAAATAAGGATGTGTGTATATTATATATATATAGTGCAATAAGTTCATGTATTCGATTTCAATTCAATACATTTTTGAGAGGAACAGCGATATCAGCTTTGTACGGCTGAGGTGCTGCTTGGTTTTATATTGCCAAGTCTCAGTTGCTCTGCTGTTGCAGCTGTTTAGTGTACTATGTTTCTTTTCAAGGCCTTGTTAGCTTTTGTTCTTTACCCCCTATTCCTTTTGGTCACTGCATACAGCCTTTGCTGGTTCTTCCAACTAGTATTACTGGGAAAGTTCTTCCTGATTGTTTCTAGGCAGGCAACTGTTTCTTACACAGGTCATTGTAGTTTTATAGATAACATTGTATCAGGTAGGATCTTGGTTTTCAGCAGGACTCAGCCACCTAAGTCAAGGGCAGGCATAGTGCTTGCCTTTTGATGTATAGTTTTTCAAATAACTAGCTCATTCAACTAGGGTTGCTATCAGCATTACTCTTTCTAAAATTGTGAAATATTGGCTGAAATGCTGTCATTTAGATTAATCTCATTTCTTGTTAGACTTGCCATCATCGTGGTTATAGGTTATTGTGGTTGGGCTATCTTTTAAGCTCACTCAATTTTATTATTCCTCTTCGGTTTTAGAGTAATGGGGGTGAGGAATAAATTGATGCGTTGTAGTTGTATGCATAATAAGAATTAGCTATTTAAGAATTACTCTGTCTGTTAGTAATAATGTATTTGTCCTAAACATACTGCAGTTGTGTCACCTTAACTGTGGCAGAGATACTACAGGGCAAATGACTTCTGGACATCTTGGTGTGAGACCTCTAAGGAAACCTCGTGACAATGCTGTAATACCTGCTTTGGTGCTTTTGATGTCTGTGTTTTTTTGGAGGGAGGAGCATAGCATCCTACCTTCCTTAACCTTATTCCTTCAGTCTCATAGGCAATGAGTCTCCTAGTCTGACTTCCTATCAACTATCTTTAATTTTTTTTTTGAAATTACAGAGGAGCTGTATTTACAGAAGCATTCATAGTAATCCTTGTGGATTTTCAGATGAGTTAGTAATGTGATACCCAGAGTAAACAATGTAATGCAATAGCAAGAATGTGAAATGTAGCATGAAAATGAGGAATGAATACACGGGGTTACCCTGCTCTGCCTTGCTGTGAGCAAGAGATACCCCAGAAAATTCTGAAAATGAATGAAATTCTCTAAACTTACTTGGAAAATGAAGGAAGAAATCCATTAAAGATAGAAGAAGATTTTCTGTCAAGTGCAGGTATAATAGTAAGCCAGCTATTTTCATTGAATAGGTGCTACTCTTCTGTGTCTTTGAGACATAAGAACAGATGATGTTTTGAAAGGAAATGGCAAAAGCTGAAAAGCGTGTGGGTTTGACTTTTTGTTTGGATGGTTGGTTTGGTTTTTGTTGTTTTGTTTTGTTTGTTAGTTTTTCCCACTTGAAACGTCCTGACTGTCTGCAGTCTTATTCCTTTCTTTTCTTTCCATCATCTCAACCTCTTAAATTTGATTTCTTCCTAGGAAATTCAACAAGTGAAAACCCTTGAAGAATTAGAAGCCTTCATGCTTAAACATGGTGAGAATATCATTGACACACTGGGAGCTGAAGTAGACAGACTTGAGAAGGACCTAAAGGTAAATTTAGCTGTGTATTAGGTAGTGCTTATTCTGTGATGTATTTTAAACAATATCACTGCACCCACCTTTTGGAATTTTGTTTACAAATATGGGAGAGGGGAAGAGGTTGATAATCTTAATGCACATCTTCTTGGTGTAGTATCATTAACTAAGTTCTGACCATCAGCAGACCCTTACTTTGCCATTGATCTGTTATGTATTTTGTTCAGTTTTACATCACTGCAGAGCAGTATTTTCATTAAATGAGACCTGGTTGTGTCTTTGTTACAGTATTCTCAGAATGTGGTTATTTGTAGACTGGTTGTAAAGAAGCAAATTTCAATCTTTTTTTTTCTTTTTTTTTAAATCTGGTACTTAACACTGTATCAAATATATCAATGTGTGATGAGGGCTTTACTCAACATTTTTTGCTCTTGTTGAAGCAGTACAGTGTTTACTACTTTCATAAGCCTGTTGTAACTTTCTTATCGTTACTTTTTTTTTCATTCTGTAATTTAAATACACTTTGGTAGGTACAACAAAGGATTGTTTCCATTTTTAATCTTACCTTTTCTGGCATGAATACAGAAATATTAAGTGTACTGACTGCCAGACAAAAACAATCTTGTTGTGACTGCCTTTTCCGGTCATCAGGAGACAGACACATCAAGAGTATGTCTGTCCTTGATTATTATATTTGATAAACATTCTATTTTTAGTTTCTATCCCTAGAGTGGTGCTGTTTAAAAAGAAAAATAGGATTTTTGGGTTTCATTGGCACCAGCAGATTCAGTTCTTCATGATTTTTGAGGAGAAGGATCACGACTAATTATTTTGTAAACATGAATACTGTTTGTTGGTATAGGCAGGGATTTCAGTGATTATATTGCTGTTGAATATGCTTTACTAAATATACTAGTCAGATTCACTACTTGGATCAGATTCACTACTAGATTCACTAGATGGATGACTTTGAAGTCAGTGACTTTCAGTAAACCTCTCATGGATTATACTGTCCATGTAATGATGATAACATTTCTACAATATCAGAAAATGCATATTTCTTAATAGAAGCAGTATGTTGAGTCTTTATAAATAGCTTCAGTGACATATAACAAATTATTTCAGCAGTTTTATCCATTATTCAGGAAAGCATCTGTTAAAACTTTTTTAAAGTGAGAGATATATATGTTTGCTTCGATTGTTTTATATAAAAACTGCCTTTTTAAAATCAAGAGAGCTGCTCCATACTTTATAAGGCATACGAACTAATTTATCTGTGATGTTGAAAAGTATTTGTCAGATAAAAAGATGACTTAGCCTTCCAGAAATTGCTTATAATATGGGCAATGTTTGTTGAAGCTATTCCTTATTTTAAAATAGTCCCTATGTTACCAGAAGAGGGGATTTGTGATCTAGTTGCTAACATCATTGTAGAAAGACATTTGTATCCATTTATGAAAATGTGTTTGAATATTTTCAATAAAAAGTATTTTTAAAAAATTTTATTTCAGCAACGAAATCCTGATGTTCGTCATGTGGATTTGGAGATACTATAGACGTGGCAGAAGAAATCTTCAGATTATTGCCATTTGAGAAAGAAGTCGTGTAAAGGGCTGAAAAAGCTTCTGAAATTGCAGTGACCTCAGCACCATACCTCGCTTACTTTTGCTGTAGGCTTCCTGGACTGTTAGCACTGCTTCTGTTTCTGGAAGAGCTCTAGATTCACAGACAAAAATTTCCATGGCAAAATGAATTTGAAAAAGCTGCTTGACTTAAATTCCACAGGAGAGTCTGTCAGAGTATATTTACTGCAATCCAGAACTTAAGACTTGAGGTTTAGTTAGGCAAATATAGCTGCCTGAAAATATACAACACACTTAGTTTTTCCATTTGTGTCCCTTTGCAGTCAGTTTGCACTTCTTTAGTTTCTTTCAAGATATCATTCAAGGTTCTTGGGAGATATTTAAGATTAGCTAGGAAGAGTTTGTTCCAGTGGAACCTGCCAACCTTAAACTAATTGTAATATTTCAACTGTGTGATTGTTTCACAGTTTTTCTTTTTTTATGAGATAAGTTCTTTCAAACAGGCACTGGCCTTCTCTCAAGTACCATGACCTGGAAACCTTCTTTTTGCCACTATTGTGATTACCAGCTGCACTTCAGAAAAATAAGGTTTTTCTCCTCAGTGGCGTCAGCTGTATGTGGTTAGCCAGAGTATGTCAACTTACTGTGAAGAAGTTGCTGTGTAGAGATTTCAGTGAACTTCCTCTGTTTAAATTTTGTTCTTTTTTCTCTACTTTGACACTTGTTCTCTTATTTGTAAATATCTTCAGATGTAATCTGAGAGATATTTATGATAGTGCTTATTAAAAGTTACCTGGCATTTTTGGCTATTTATACTTCTAATAGACTATATTGCCAGCTATGGTCTTTGCTAGAAGGTATAAGAGATGTAGTTGGAAGATATAATAGTAAAAAATGTATTAGAACTATTTATAATTAAACAAATGAATACATTGTATTTTTAATTTATTTACCTTTAGGCATTATCTATTATCTGAATTCTAAACTGCCTACTTTGTGTTTTCTAAGAATTGACCTGGCTTTTTTGGAAAGTAAAGTAATTCTATCAGTGGTCTTCCACAATCCTGAAATAAGTCCTTGGAGTTTATAACTTTGAAATGTTCAATTCTACCACTGTATATAATCAGCATCAAGGCTTTCTGCAATAGGCACCCAAGTTGTACCGGATTCTTTGAGACCAGTCTTTATTAATAAAGGCCGTGAGTACTGACCATGCAAGTTGAAATAGAAGTGAAACAACGGCATATAAGTAACTCTGAGGAAAATCCTTTATGCACTTTAACATAGTTAAGTAAAATGAGAATTGCTCATGGGTGAGAGGTGGTAGTAAGACCCTCCTAGTGACTCAGTTGCTGAGTAATGACTGACTTGCTGAAAGAATAATTGTTGATATGAAACACAGGTCCTCAAAAATCAATTTAAGATTCAATTATAAGTATTGCAGCAAATAAAAATTGTGGAGACCAGTATGTCCAGATTTGACTAAAAGCTTTGTAGAATTTTTTTCATTTTAGAGTCACTTACCAGTGAATTATGAGAATTTAAAATATTTTTGACAACTGCACTTTGCGTGTTGGTCACTTTAAGTCGAAAGACATTCCAGAGTTTAGTTACAGACAGGACTTCACATACAGTAATTGTGGGTGAAGGGGTCTCTTTAGTACCCTTGTCCATTATCCCTATTCACCAGTGGCTTCTTTATAGCATATTAGTTTACTATGGCTAATCCAAAAGAAGGTTTACTTTTCTCCTGCTGTAGAACTAGTTAGTATATTTAAGCCTGATGAGTTGAATTGCAGTTTTAAGGTAATTTGGAAGTGTACTGTATCAAGTAAATAAGGCATATTTTAGCACATTATAAGGTATTTACCTTTCTCCTCACCCTTCCATGTAAACTTAATCTCAGCTCGGTATGCACTCTGCTGATGTTAGCCTTACTCATGAAGAGCACTGGAATCTGGTAATGCATAACCTCTTTCCTTCTTCCTAGAATATTTATATGGATTTTGAATTTGAATAAACACTTTAATAAACCCGTTATTCCAGAAATCTTAAAAACCTGAAGAGAAGTAAAAGAGAAAATGCTCTTACCAGGGAGGTTAGTGGAGACAGCCGGTGTGACCTAAGTGGTTTGTTTGCTGGAATTACTGATGAATGAGTAGTGTCAGTATGCACTTTGTAGGGCAGAAATTTCACTGAGAGGTTAGTAAACGTTATCTCAGTTAAGAGGAGACATGAGTTTATATTCTTACAGGGCATCTGCTCCAAAAGCCTGTAAGAATGTTTTTGTATTTATCAGGCATGTAATTCGTATGAATTCAGATCTTAATTTCCTTATATGAGTCAGAAGCATCCCATCCATACACCTTTTGTTTGTATTCCAGGATAAAATTCAGATCCTTGTCTCCCAGTTATGCTGTTGATTATAGCATCACAATATGTTAAGTTTAAGAAGCCAGAACTCGAATGGTTTTGGGTACATAGCAGTTGCATAGTTCGCAGACCCAGTTCCATTTTAAAAAATGAACTGGATGGTGATGTGCCACAAAAAGGCAGGCAGACTGGTTTTGGAGTACCTTGAAAGTTTACGAGTCTTGCAGTTGGATGAAAATATCGATTAATTGAGCCTGTCAGGCTGGAAAGGAAAAGTAATTCCAAGCTGTTACATTTTAATATATATTCTAATTTGCAGATTGTTTTTAACAATTTTGACATTTTTACTGCTGTTTTTTTCTTAACTGTCTTCATGGTCTAAAACTTGAGGTGATGTGGGTCCAGTAGTACTTAGTTTACTTTTTAGTGTTTTTGGAGAAAATGTTTAGCTAATACATTTACATGACAGAATCCTCAGAATTAAAAAAAAAAATAAATATATGGGGGAGTGGATTTTTTCTTTATCACAAATGAAATTACGTAATGTTTCTTTTAGATTGATTTTAAGGAAAAGGAGTGAGGATTTGGCTAACAATAAAGTTATATTCTAGGATTTTTTTCAATTAAGGTGTGGTCTTTTAAAATTATTTTTGTAGACTGGCTTTGCAGGTTCTGTTTTTTCACATTGTGTTCAAAGTACTACTGTCCTCTGCTTCATGAAAGATTGCTTACGTGGTGCACAATGTCTCATAATTCTGTAAAACTTGCAATGTTTGAAAAAAATTGTCTTAGTGTTCCAATATACTGAGTGATCTTAATGTATTTTAAGTTAAAGTTGGCTGGACACTAACAATACGTGTTTTCCTGTAGAACTTGTTTTTCCATAGAAGATAAAATTCTGAATCCCCCATGAATCAATTTCAAGTCTAAATTTTTGCCTTTATATATTGTGGAATTAAGTATTGGACGTAGTGCCCCTCTACCCCTCCACTTTCTAAAGCATTTATTAAGCATATTGTAGTAGTAAATACTTCAGTGGATTACTCTATTACAGAGACTGTTTGCTGTGTGTTCTGGTCTAGAAGTAGCAGGGACTCAGGCAACAGGAGTACATATTTTTTTAAGGACAAGTTGCTTGCTTTATCCTCTGTGACTCATACTCGAGCTGAAGGTTTTTTAGCCTCTTCTCCTTCCTTGAACTCACACAGATATTTTTCTTTTTTTTTTTTTTTTTTTTCTAATAACTGACTTCTAGAGAAGGAAGCCATTATGAGCATCTTATGTTTCTAATAGCAGGGCTAGATGTTACTCTTGGTCTCTGGATTTTGTACTGTACTTCTTGTTCATTGATAGTTGACAACAGTGATTGCTCTTTTGAAAGCTACAAATCATGTTAGCCAAAGCTACTAGAGTGTTCTGATTCTGGCAGGTGTGTTTTTTTCAGCTATATCTGGAGACTCAGTTTTTATTGAGAAATTTTTACTGGACCCTTTTTGATAAAGGGGAGTACAGGGAAGAGTTTTAGGTATGTTTTGTCTAGATAACTCACTGATTGCAGTTCTGTGTTCTTCTTACTTGTTACCATTTTAGCTGACTTATCTTTTTCCTTAACAAAGAAAAAATTACACATTATGGAAGTACCTCTGCTAATGATGAATGCATCAAATACAGGCTTCCTGCAAAGAGTTTTTAGGCTTTTGTATATTGAAAGTGTGGCAATTTTTGAAAATTGTCAATTAAGTAATCCTTTTTCTAAAGCTGATTTAGGTGTGTTTCTTACAAAAGAACCCACAGAGACATATTGTTTAAGATTTGAAAGAAAAGTATTTCATTTTATGGTCATATGTTCTTAAGGCATTTTGGTTTGGTAGAATAGAGCAATTGATTAATATTGACTTCTTTAAACCGAAAAGTTCAAAAACTGAACTTACGTGAATGCCTAAAGGCTTACATTGCAGAATTGAATATAAAATGACTGTGCTTTTTTTTTCTTCTATCTTAAGTATTGTGCTGCTTCTGTTCTTATTGTTAGCTCTGAATAGAGAGTACAACTAACATCTCTTTTGCAGTTTCCCTGCTTAATGTAAATGAGAAGTAGAAGTGTACCAAAAAGATTTTTTTGTAGAGGGGTTATGTAGCTTAAGTAATTTTTACTTTTTTGTTAGTGAGACACAAATAATTAAGATCAAAAGTAGACTATATCTTTATTACATATTAAAAGAAATAGGAATTCAAGCTTTAAAGCACAATAGTCACATTCTTGAAATGCATGTCCTTTGAGGAAAATAAAATGTGCCAGGAGCTCGAAGTGGTTGTATGGACTATAGAAACTGCAGTCAATCAGGATTTGCTGAAGCAAAAGAAAAGAAACCATAACAAAGTGTGTGGTAAAAAGAAAGGAATACAAGGAAGGAAAAAAATGAAGGTGTTGAGCACTCGGGAATAGGAAAAGACGAACACAATCTAAAAAATGTGGCCAGAAATAAGAAATGATGATGGGAGAGGAAAAGAACAGTAAGAAATTATATTTGATTAGAATGCACAAAACTATGCAGTATGTCTTTCTTTTAGCAATATTCAGATAGTTGTGTGATGCCTCCCTCCCACCCCCAGCAAAAACGCATCTTTTTTTTTTTTTTTTTTTTTTCCTGTGATGAAAATCAGTACCTCCATTTAGCTCTTCCTTAATATGACATTCAGTCTGGCAGGTATAAACCTATTTGCCCTCTGAAAACTTAGTCTTGTTGCAAAGGGTGATGGTGTAATTTCAGTCTGGAGCTTTGTTGGTGAGGTACGTATTTGGTGAGTGGAGAGTGAGTAATTTTAATTGTGGAAATGGGAGCTGGAGTGACTTGAAGAGAAAATGAATTGATTCTTTCAGCCAGAAAATGATTGAAGCACTATACTGAAGATGTTGTGGAAAAAAAAAAAAGGTGCAGTGTTATCAGGTCTACAGAATTCTTGCAATGGACTGTAATAATTGGTGAATGTTAGTCCATATTTTTCAAGTTGCTTAAATGTCTGTGGATAAGCAAGATTTCTACTTAAATCATCACATTCTGAAAAGGAGTTAAAGAAAACGTAATGTGAAAAGGATGTACATTTTTTAAATACCACAGACAGCCACTATAACAGATTATAACACATAGGCAGAAAATTGTCATTCTATCCTTTATTACATGAGGCTCTTGAGGACAAGTTTTTCTGTGTAAATCAAAGCCGCCAATTAAAATAAAATGTCTTGGTTACTTTTTATAAGTGTTACACTAATAGTAAGCCTGGTCAAATTTTTGTATTGCTAGCGCTCCTAGGGCTGTTATGGGGAGAAGGTGTCTGTTAAAATAGTGGAATACAGCTCCACACTCTAGGATACATTTGATTTTTGTCACCTAAATTTAACCTGTATTTAAAACTTGAGGTTGTGATCAGCTGCTTCAAATCTGAAGATGAAAAAAAAAAAAAAAAAGATGTTGTATAAATGATGTAATATAAAGTTTTTTTGGTAAGTTTCTCTTCAAGTTAAAGATGCTGAAGAACTATGTGAGAAGAAACACTTGGAAAATGCTTAAAGCATTTGGAAAGCATTTTGGCTATTGCCAAAATTGTATTATATCTGAAAGTCAATGGTGAGGATTTTGACTGGTGGTAGAACTTTCAAAGGGCAATCTCAAAGTATGAAGTATGTTTTTCCATGCAGCCTTTTAGTCAAATGTATTTCTTTCCCCCATCCCCCAGTGTTTTTTGTTGTTTTGGCTTTTGCATTCTGTGTCTTGGTTACTTCCTATTAGTGTGGGGAAGTAATTTTGATTTGTGAGGTGCAGACATTGAAATATTTCTCCGCATATGTTCTTTCTTTTGTAATTATACTTGAATACAGTGCATCCTGTAAAACGTCTGGAAGTTGTAATTACTCAGTAAAATATTACATAGCTGGTAAAGGTTCTGTTCTGTTAATTCAAGGGATTATATGTATATTGTAAAGGTAAGCAATAACACTGGTTTTAAGCAGTTGATTTCTTACGTTTCCAAATTCAAAATAGACGTAACAGTATTTTATGGATGCAAAACAAAGTTTTTATCGATCTATTTGTACTAGTTATTTGGTTTATGATGTTGACAGTACACACTCTGTTAAATAGCATGCACTCAGTACGTGAGCTATCCTTGTCTAGGATAGCCAAGCTGTATTTATACTCTGTACTTCATTGGCAACTGTGCCTTTTGTCCTGTTTCCCCCCAAAGAGCGCAGTTCCTTCCCCAGTACAGAGTGAGCTCTCTCTGACTGGCTCCAGTTTGATCTACCAGTCCTGATCCAGATGTAAGGACGATGTGAAGAAAGGTAGTAAGACAGATGGGTTGCATGTCGGTGTATAGTCAAGGGTGTGGTGAATTTCTTGAAGGGGCTGGGTTTATGTATTAGACTTGCATAATAACTGTAGTTTGACAATCCCAGCAAAGCTGTCCCAGCCTCTTAAGAAAAAGCTAGCTATTGTTCACTTGAAATTAATCAGCTTTGAAAGGATTTAACATACTGTCCGGTTCATTAAAGTGCCACTTTGTATCACTAATACTGCTGAAAACTGGTGATTTATCCAGTTATGGAAAGAATTAATTGGGCTAAAAAAAAAAAAAATCTATACGTGGCTGGAAAGAAGAGAAAAATGCAAGAAGTCTGGGCGATAAAGTGGAGAAACTTGAAAAACTGGAGTTTTTGTCTATATAGTATCAGATGTCAGAAATAAGGTGGTCAAGCATCATATTTCAGGAAAGATTTTGGATATGCAGCATATGTCTTGATTGCTAAAGATGTTTTATCTCATAGTTAATAGACTCCCTTTCTTAAGGGTTCTTGCAGGGACACTGGGCAGTAATGTGTGGTGTTCAGATTGTAAAAGGCTACATGTCACAAACTCATCTCCCATGTTCAGCAACATTATTTTTGGGTGGCGATACCATTGGCAACAGTTTTGGTTGGTTTGTTTCTTGTGTTTTTTTTGGGTGGGTTTGTTGTTTTGTTTTTTTTTTTTTTTTTAATTAACCAAATGGCACAAACTCTGCCTGAGCAAGGAAAAGTTGAAATATTGGACTGTCTTTTGGGCTGTCTGAATAACGAGCCAGATGGTCTCAGCCACTTCGAAAGAGGGAGAGGGCTCTGTCTTTTCACAAAATGTAACCTGGAATCTTCAAAATCCTTTTTTTATTTACTATTTGTGGCATTTATTGAAGGGTCATTCTTAAATAATTGGGTTAAATGGTTGGTAATGGGTTGAAGCTGACCTGTCAGTCAGCTGTTTAGAGGTGATCTTAACAGACCTGTTCAAGGACATGGAAAGTAAACATCCCTGTAGCATTTGAATTAATATTCTTGAAAACCTTAGGAAAGGGACATAAGTTATGTAGTGATTTTTATTTTTTTTTTTAATTTAGATTCCTTCAGTTCTTCTGGTGCTGAATCGGGGCTTAGTAGGATCTTTTCTAGGCCCTCGTTCCTACAAAAGAGGTGGTTTAAATGCTACTCCATGCTCTAGTGTAAACTGATGCTCAGTGTTTCAGAGAAATTTTTTTTCTAGAAATACTGATTGAACTGCAGTTTACCATTGAAGTAAATCAGGCCACTCTAGATACACAAAGCATTATGTTTAGGGTTGAAATGTTTTGTTTTGGGTTGTTGGTTTTTTTTTTGTTTTGTTTTGGTTTTTTGTTTTGTTTTGTTTTTTGTTTTTTTTTTTTTTTTTTTTCCCAAAGCAAGCTGCAGTAGTAAAATCCATCTTGCATTTGATGCACATACAAATTCATATGTGAACTTGTGTCTCTGCATGTTATAATTGTATGTAGGTATCTTTGGTTGTAGATTTGTACCTTGCTGATTGTGTTTCTCATGAAAGAGATAACTTAGCAAAAATAAAATACTGTGGAAGAAGATTCTAATGAATATGGACAATTTGGAAATGTTGATGAAAGGAAGACATTTCAGTGAGGCTGTGGCTTTGAGAAGACCAAACTTGTGGTTGTCTGTGTTCTCCTCTATGTTCTCATCTGACTGCCATCAGAGGCAGCATAGAGAGGTTTAACAGACCCGTAGCTCAATGCTGTGTGGCTGCTCTTGTGTCTCTAGTCATGCAGACTGACTGACAGAGGAAGAAGGTAGGGAAAATGGTGCTGAAACAGGTAACTTCACAAGTATATTAAGCAAGACACGTTACAAGGGGATACCTGAGCTATACCATCAGGTGTTACGGTAGAAGCTAAAGAAGATAACAGTAATGGGAGGGATGCTCTTCCCAGCAGGAAGAAGTTTGAATAGATTTATGACAAAGTTTATTGAACTTAATGAAGTTAAATGAAAGGTATGTTAATCCTTACCAAAAGTTGATGCCTAAGCAAGACATCCAGGGCTGAGCTCAGATGAATTCCTCAGTGGGAGAATTCTTTTGGCAGCTCTCAGTTTCTCTTGACAGCCCATTTTTTTAGCCCAGCTCCACCTGGAAAAAGGACCAGAATTATGTATCCCCAGCAGAACAGCAGTGAGCAGAGAACAATGAAAATCATATACCTCCCTCTTGCCATGGTGGTCTGTCAACCCTAGCCTTAGACTAAGATTGAGGCACGGGCAAGGCACCTCAAGTCTAGTCCTGGGGATGAGTTTCTCATGGGAGAAGTCTTTTTGCAGCCTTTAATTTCCTTCAGCAGGTATTGGTCGATTAAATACAAGAGATAAAGAGAAAAATGGATGAGAGAGGAGGAGCCACATTTATGGTGGTGGTTTTTTTCTTAATGTTGAATGAGATCTCTGCCTTTAAGATTTGGTCCCATGGCAATAGACATAAAATAATGTTTGCTTTGGTAGTTGCTGAATTTGAATGAGACCATGTTCTTGCAAGTAGCGGTTGTACAAAATCTCCATGATAGGCCTACTTATGACCCAAAAAACTTACTTCTGTTGCTGGAGTGAAGCTCCTAAATAGATAATGCTGTTCACATTTCTTAATTCCATCCGACCATAAATAGGAGGACCTTTGTTCTTTCTTCTGCCATTGAAGAAGGCTAAGCTTTCTTAGTACCTAATTGTCCCCAGCTTCTCTAAACAGCTCAGATCTGTTGCTTCCACTAAGAACTTAGGTAAATACTTGTACCATCTCATCACAGAGAATTTAGCAAAGGACTGCTTTGCTTAGGCCTGTGCAAAGCTTGCGAGCTTTGCCCCTTTCTGCTCCTTCTCCTTTGTGCACTGATTTCCCTTGTTCTGACCTTCATTATATAGCTTCACTCTCCAGCTGGTTCAAAATGAGGGGTTTGGGTGGAGGATACCGATTCCAAAGTCTACGAGCTGCATCTGCTCACTAGACAGTTGGGCACTTCTGGATCGCCGGGGGAGATGTGCAGTGATGACCTGGCTAGCATTTGGGGGGGTTACAAACGTGCCAAGGTTAGTATTTTTGTCTTGGAGATCAGTCTCACCCTGGAACTTCCTTTCTGATGCTGTGGATGGGAAAGGTAGACTGGGTGTTTCCTTCACATTCCTTTTGTCAAGAGACCGTTAGAACTGCTTGCTGCTCTGCTTCTTGGGTTATACTTTATGAAGAAATCCGGCTTTCTGTCAGTTCAGTATGTAGTTCAGTTGTTGTCTCTTTCAGGTTCACCTCCTTTTGCAAGAAGACTTTTCAGTTTTTCATTCATGTTACTACAAGGCATTTTTGAAAGGCTTAATTAGAAATTTTCTGCTGTACTACTGACCCTGTTCCTAAATAGGAACTAAATTTAATATTAACTTTTCTAACGAGAAACTACTTTAAGTCATTAGCAAACCCGTTTCTTTCCATTTTCCTACAAAGACTGCCTTGGTTGTGGCAATTATATCTGCCAGATGAATGGGAGAGTTTAAAGTGTTTTTAAGGACAAAAGGTTTTTTTAGCTTTTTCCCAACACTGTTATGTAAATTCATGTCAGGTTTTTTTCTCTTGACTCAGGTAATTAATCTGCTGGTGTGGATTTTTTTTTTTTTTTTTTCCTTAACACCATACATCTGCAGTAGAAGCTGCTTTTATACTTTTTGTATTCACCGAGCAAGGTCATATACAGAGATCTGTCAAGTATTCCAAGGGACTCCATGCTGCAGCAGGGAGGATTTATCTGTGGAGAACTGTTCATGTATGAACTTGCTAGGAAATAACCAAGACAGAGCCTTTGATTTAAACAGGCCCCACTCGAGTGCTCAAGTCACATCAGTGGTATTGGTTTGCTGTATCAATAACCAAGATTTATTTGATTGTCACCTGCAGCTGTATTCATGCTTTCCTCCTGCTGAAGCACCTGGGGACCATTTGTAGTCACCCATGGTGCAGATGAGCATAAGTGCCAGGTAAGGAAAGATGAGGTCTTTCTTCCCTGTTTTTTTTTTTTTTATTTTGTTTTGTTTTTTAATATCATCTACGTGCATGTTTACAAACCAAAGTTAAACTTTGCAATTCAGTACTCATCTTGCATTGTTGTCCATGCTGTGTGAGCTGGTTGATTGCAAAGCTATGAGAAGGGAACATTGTGAAGGGAGTATTTTTAGGCCTTGGATGTTAGGAGAGAGAAAAATTAATGCTGCTGTGCAAAAGGTATCTCAGTCTCTTTCTGTATTGGAGTCCATAATGTCTACTTTACAATGCTGCTGTTGCCCAGCACCCCAGCCTCCCACAGGAGGATGCTGCTCCTTCAGCAGTGATTTGTTATTTTGTTTTATCCTCATTGTTTGATCTCAAGGGCTTCTCTGTTGTCTGTAGCGCTATAGCTCTGGTTCCTTGGTAGCATTAATCTTCACCAAACCCCTATGAAAGAAGTGGTAGAACTATCTCAGTTTTAGGCGCAGTGGGCTAAAGGTTGAAACATGCCACCTCATGCTGTGTTCCCCGGGACTCTGATGTTTCGGTCTCCTCGCTGTGATGGAAGCACTTCCTGCTCTGACACTCCTCCTTCCACTGGCATTGGTCACAGAAGTGCCCCAGCAGAGGGAAAGTGGTAGAGAAAACAGAAATTGCTGTCTAGCTGAACCCGGACGACTAGATTTTTGCAATTTGAGTAGTCTTATTAAAACAAGATTACAAAGACTTTTATAATGTGAGCTTGCACATGAGCTTGTTCTCAGCAAATAAGGTAAAAACAATTCCTTCATATGCAGGAGAATCAATGGCTGACTTTGACCTTAAAGATCCTCTTCGGGGACATCTTAGTACTTGAGCAAAGGCGTAACTGCCAGCAGCAGCGGGCCGTGCTGTACGGACCAGCACTGTGGCAGAGCAGGAGCACGGTTTGACTATTGCCTTGCCAGTATGTTTAACAAGGTATTTAGTGCAAGAGTGACAAAATGCAACATTACTGAATTATACCCCCCAGCTGTACTGCCCTTCAGTTCTGGTTCTCCCCCACCCCAGGGACCTCTTCCTAACCCCTTCTCTCTGCCTTTCCAGCCCAGTTGCTACCTCTCAGATTTGTCAGCCTCTTACAGATTCCGCTGTTAAACCTAATCTCTCTGGGGTTCTTTCCAAGCTTCAAAACCCCAGTTGCTGCTTCGGGTTGTTTACCTACATGCTCTCCTTCCCTGTCAGCTTTCCCTGCCGGTTTCTTGCCTGTACTGCCCCATCACCCTGTTGGTTTCTCCATAGCTCATCCCTATTCACTTCTGCCTCTGGCATTTCAAGTCATTGCCCAAAAGTCTGGGAAGTCAGAGCTTTCCAAAGAGAAGTTAATTATAATTTTTTTCAGAGGGTTTAACACAGGTTGTTTTTACCTACATTCCTCAGAATCACCTGAAATTATTTTGGTGAGGGCTTCACTAATAAAGGTTTTTCACTAATGAGGATTTTCACAGAAAATACAGTATGCTGGAGTCCCTGATCTAGAAAACACCAGCCCAACCCCAGTTAGTTTTACATTATAGGCACCTAAAAGCATTGTTTTATAATGCAAATATTTAGCAACCATTTGTAATGGATGACACCAGCCCGCGGTCAGGCCCGTCTTGCTTCACAGCCCAGCAGAAGGGGTTTGCCGTGGTGAATGTTTGTCACTGTAATTCCTCTACAAATTATTTGGAGTCAGGATTTTCTAAAGCATTTAAGAGAACAGGAGACATTCAGCCATCACTGAATTTTGAATTAAAATGGGATTTAAACGTCATCGCTTGAAAATCCAGGTCTTAAGTTTGCAGGTGGTTACTTTCTCTGAGCAGTCTTTCTATCTAACCAGCACATAAATATATGTGGTTATATTTTGAGGTGAAAATTATTTATATTATATTCATACTTGAATTGTTCATAATCTTTCACTGTCTTTGCCAGTGCTTCATACCAAACAAGCATTTAATGCAAAAGACGACCCTCTAGCCTTTTATATAAATCTAAGTCTAAAACTTTTAATATATATATTTATAGTGAGAACCAGTTGTGACTGCTGTCACACTGACACAACAATGTCTATAGAGAAAGACAGAGACAAGTTAACCAGAGACTAACTTTTATTGTGCATTTTTATGCAACAGAACAAATGGAACTGGAGGTATGTAGTAATAAAACCAATATTCAAATTAGAATTAACACCTGAAATAGTAAACTGTAGGTAACAAATGTCTTTATAATTAAAAAATATTGACTGTTTAAAAAATTCTCTAAGATTTCATATTCTTTAAAAGAAATGTGTGTTGCCACATAGAAAACAATTCACACATCCTATAGAAATTGTCACAAAAACCTTACTAGTCTATATTACACTATGCACTTTTTTTTGTACAATATCTGGTAAAGGTCTATCCCTAACCTGTACTTACTCTACACAGTACAATCATCATTAGAAAGTATTCATAGAATTAACTACACCATAACAATAAAAATATCAGGATTAATGGTTTTTTAATCACAGTTTCTTCACAAATATTTGTCATAGAAAATATAGCGAAGGCATGTTGGCACAGATGGGCGTGCGGTACTGCTACACAAAGTTTGAGAGAAGGCAGATACATAAATGACAGTCAGATTAAAGAGCATGGTAGGATAAGACAGGAATCTCTATCCTCCTGGGACTTTCTGGAGTGACATGATAGATAGCGGCTTCCTTCTGTCGCAAGCCTGCTGCCTACATCCAGAGCTGGGAAGGGATGTGCTGACTTACCAGGCACACTGCTTAAATATGGGTATCTCGCTCTGCAAGGGCTTACGTGCTATCTATTATTTCAGGTCCTGTAGCCTTATACCTAAAGTCTTGCAGATATATAGACACTTCAATGTGTATGGATTTATAATGCTTTATGAATGAATTAATCCAAATCATCTATGAAAGGTTTGGGTTTTTTTTAAATGAAAGGGCTGGGTCAAGAGTCGAGTGGCCATGATGACAAAGACAACTGAAAACAGTTGTTGTACTCTGTTATTTTAAAATCAAACATGAACAAAAAAAAAGATGAGCTGGTGTCTGCTAATGCCTGTCTGTGACTATGATTCATATCACTGGCCAGTGCACACAAGCAACTGAGGGCAAAATTTTGCTTGTAAAGAAAGGTCCAAACCTGCAAAGCCATTTCGAGCGCCAAAGTGTCTTTCAGGATCAAACTATACATTTGGTTATTTTGCACAATATGAGAGCAGAGGACTGTGAGTGGTTCGGACGCTGGCTACACTTTGTACACTAAAAATAAAGCTAGGCTTACTAGTTATTTCAGCAAATCTTTAGGTTAGTAAGTGAGAGAGGTCTGTTCAGTAATTCTGTTCAGTGACTGTTAAAAATGAAGCGTTCATATTTTTAACCTCATACAATTAAACATTTGAAAGGAAGCCATCACAAGGTTTACAAAAATACAGCATGATACATATTGCTGTGGACAAATTTACAGTATAATGTTGACTCACACGTTCTGACATGTTTTACCAAGTAGTTCTGGCAAGTGTCACCACATTAAACATAGACCAGCAAGACTTACACCATCTGAGCAATGTAACATCGTCTATTATAGTTCTTTTAAAAAAAGTGTAAGTTCAACACCGAAAAGCTACTATAGGATATCTGTACTGTGACATTTCTATACACTGACTTTCTCCTCCGGAGGACACCACACACCACTGACTGCTCAAAGAAAGTCACCTCCTGCCCGTAATGAGGGATGCTGTACCCAACCCCTTGGCCTGGTGAGGTCCAGTGTGACTAAACCGCTTATTTCACTTTTAGAAAATAAATGAGTTATTCTGGGGCAAGTGAGTGCCTTTCAACCCCCTTTTAAAAATCACCGCAAATAAAATTAATCAACAGGTATTGGACATTTAAGGGCCTAAAGCATATCCTGGCTGAGTGAGGTCCTGTCTACAGCGGTGCACAGTGGAGCCCATGTCCCGATGCCCCACAGGCCGGCCGTGAGAGATCGGTCCCAAACTCAAGCAAAGAGGAGGCAGATGGTGGGAAGAAGCTGTCAGGTGGGCGAGCTGACCTTGGGGGGACTGCCTCAGTCCTCCACCCGCGGCCAGGCTGGAGCTGGAGGAGCGCTTTGCTCCAGAGGGCCCTTCCTGATCTTTGAGGAAGGGGTTGGGTGTCTCCTGTCCTGCCTGGCACAGAGGGAGGTCAGGAAGGAGAGGAGAAGGGCAGAAGGAGCAATTAGTAGCTTCTCTCGTGGCTTGCACAAGGCGATTGGGAAAGCTGGGGAGTATGAGATACGCGTTCAGGAGAGTCAACGCTGATGAGGTAGCACTAAAGATGGTCAAAAGTGAAGTGAACTTTCTTTCCAAAAAACAGTTCCCTGTACCTGCCAGTGGGGAAATGTTGCCTCAAAGAGAGCTGGTTCAGGCTGTGAAGAATGCCAGCACTGGCCTGAGCGACCAGAAAGGGTGAGGAGATGGAAACACCCTGACATGGAAAGGAAAGGGTATCGTTTCTTTGGCATTGCATATTTCTGGAGTGCATCAATTTGGAGGGACAACAGACTCCTAAGCTTTCAAAGGTTTTCAGTGGACTGATTTTTTTTTTTTTTAAAGTTGGTATCTGCTTCCAATGTTGTGCACCACTGAATTCTGCTCTAGCACAGCTCTTAAGTTAGTCTGAACCCTGTGTTTACTCACAATAGAAGCTTAAACTAAGGTCTTCTTACCCAACCCCTCCCTGAATGCAACACTGAGCATCTGACTGTTATTGCCAGCACCTTGCCTCATCTATTTCACGGAATGGATATAAAACACAAATGAAAGCAAAAACAAGAAAAGGCAATTTAAAACCTCTAAAGCTACATAATATGGCTGCAGAATAGGAACAGACAAAGCAAAACCTGTCTTCTGAAATGGCAATTTGTTTTTAGCAATCCTGTTTTAATAAAACTGTCATGATCAACTCTAATCCCCTAGAAATCTAGATAAATATAGTGTCTATCAGATGTACAAAGCAATTTTTATCTATTAGAAGTGCCTGTTATTGTTCTGGGTCTTTGAAGGATTCTGCTGTTGACAAGCACTGCTGTTTTACCCAGGAAGCTTAATTTCCTGGCAGAGTTGGCTAAAGGAAGTCCCTGAATTCTCCATCTTGTGTGGTATTTTAAGGTAGCATTTATATTATTTTCTGTTAGGAAATGGGAGACCACTTCTTTTTTTTGTTATAAGCGGGCAGACTTGTTCTTACATCTCCTACTCAGGGAAAGCAAATAGTACACAGCTGTTCTAGGTCCAGACTTGGGCTTGTTATCAATAGGCTGATGAGACAATAGCTGCTGTTTCTTTTCACATTTTTTTAGTTTTTAAATGACCTTTCCTATAGAACTAGATGAAATAAACTGTATTTTCCCTTTGAGGGTGCTATGAAGGATTTGCAAATAATAGGCACTGAGAAGTCCCATAGAACAGGTCTTGAAATGGATTTCTTCCTGTTAACTGGGACATGGTAAGATAGAGAAGCTGAAATATATGTAGTATGTGTTCAAACATGCTTTGGACTCTTAAATGACAGCAGGGTAAGTATGTATAACAAATAGTCTCTCCTAAATTAAGTGGTTGCTACTGTTGTATGAGGTTCTTCTCTCTGCCATCAATCGCCAGATCCATCTTGCATACCTCTGTTGAAGACTTCGTCCTGTGATCCTGGATGGTCAGTCCCTTCATAATACGAGTTCCCATTGTGAAGGAAAGTCCCCACTGCACGCCCTTGACGAGCGTGTCCTACTGCGTCGCTGAATACCTTGTTTATTTGCTCTTCAGATGGCATCCACCAGTCCGGGTTGGAAGTACAATGCATCCTAATGAACTCTGCAGGAAAACACGCAAGGATAAAATACAGCTTGTCTTTGCAGCATCCGTTATCGCCCAGGTGTCAAAAGCTCATGGAAAATAAGAAAGGGGGCATTACTGCTCTACTTAAGCAGAAGTAAAGCCTTATGGGGGATGCCATGACAATGCCACTTGGACCCATTTTATTTCTGTACAAGTCTGTTTCTCCACATGCAGTGTATGTTGTTATGACTGAGCTAATTATCTGATGCATGGGACCTGGAGATAAATTCCCTTCTTGTGGAAATAAAAAGAAGTAATTCAAAGTGATGTCTGTGATTCAGCGTGTGCAATACATGTGAAAGTTAACATGAACTGGGGTGCATTTAATTTGAAACCTGTTGTGTGTTTATACCTTAAGGTGACTACTCTGGTGGATCTTTACGATCTCCCTCTGCTGGCTGCTTCAACATCTGCAGGCTGCAGTAGCCCACAACCTGCTTGAAAATGTCACTATTATTTCAGTTTGGTGCTCCTTTCTGTTTGGAATATCTTTCATTTTAAGTCCTGCTCTTTCCATCTTCCTGAATCTGACACCCGTTTTTCAGAGACTAAATTAGCCTTAGAAATAGCTAAATGAGATGAGAAGGCTAATTTGGGAAGCCTTGCAATAGGTTTCAATGCAGGAGAAAATTGATTGTACTGCATGTAATTTGGCTATTTAAGTAGCTGCTGCTTCCACATACAGCTAGTTGTATGTGATGATTACATTTTTTATAATTTCTTTTTCAGATTCTTTGACATGTAATATGCTAAACTTGCAGAAGGCGCCTTACTAATTCTGGAGTTGTAACTGCTAGACATAGCTCAAATAGGTGTATTTGGACTTTGAAACATCCAAATATGATTTTAAATGTGAGGGCATCTTATTAGATATATTGGATACACTGCACCTCATATGGAAACTGAGCCTCTTATTTATTCTGTAACGTTAGTTATTCCCTCATGCAGTATTGTGTGTCCCAGGATATTTTAAAATTCTATTTTCTACTGTTGACAAGCCAACAGCACAATAAGTGGCGTAAGGTAACTTCATTACTGTTACCACATCTCGAGACCAGGGAATGCTGTGCTTTTACATGAGTTCCCGTGCCTGCAAGGTATCTCATCTGTTGGACAATTAGGACGTGATTTTTGCATAGCTCCTCCAGCAGTGTGTCTGCAAGTGATAGCTATCTCAGTTTTAAATTCATTTCCCTGGAAATCCACACAGGCAACTGTAATTCCTACCTAGTTATGTTCACATGGGGCTCCACAGACTGGTGTTTTTCTCAGAGAAATGTTTACCATGTAAAGGAGTAATGCTATAATTTAAGCATGCCAGGCTGCTTTAAAGCTGGTTCCAGACATCAGTCAGTTGTAGGAATATATTAAAAATGTTTATAGATGTTTAAACTACTCTGAGTGCAGAGAGAGAAGCAGTTTGTACTCTCTGCTATGGTGGGAAAGCATAATTAGACGTGCTGAGAATTAGTCAGACACTTGTTACCTTGGCTTGCAAATGAGTAGGAGCCAGTGGCCAACTCTTGGCACCGGAGACAGTTGTCATGTTCCCACCCACGCACGAAAGCCCAAAGGGAGAGCTGTCTACTCTGCTTTCTTAACTGGTCCTTAGATACTGAACATTTTGGCTTCCTCTTCAAGCTTCTGCAAATTAAGGAAACTGGCCTTTCTCTTTCTCCCCAGGAGCGCTCCATGTTCTGTATGTCCAGGACCCCAGAAAGGAGAGTGGCCATAAGCAAAAGTCCATCTACAGGTGGATTTACTGTTAGTCTTGGTGGGAGGCAGGGGGAAGAAAGGGGAAGAAAAGGGTATTAGCACTCTACTTGTGAATAAATTATTAAGTGAAATTTAAAGTAATTTAGTAAATGGTTAATGCACTCTTATTCAGCCTTCAGCTTCCAGGAGAACTTCTGGGACCCTGAATCTTGCTCCAGACCTCTGTGCAGCACAGTGTGCAACGGACTTGCCCTTCTATTAAGCTCTGATGGAGTATAAGGTCTGGTAGAGTATCATATAACAGGTTAACAGGTTCCTTTGTAGTAAAAAGAGACCCTTTGCCTAACTTAGCAGTATGTAAAAATCTGCAGTTTTTTTACCTGATTACATCAGTGTTCCCCAACCACAAGTCTTATCTACTTGTCTTGTTGGATTCCTCTACCCTATACGGGAAGATGCTCCATCTGATGTGTATAACCACTTTGGACTCCAGTTGGATGACTAAAGATATTTTTATCACTGACTGACCAAAATACAGCTTTTTATACTGCATTGATTAGTAAAACATTCTTGAAGTCAGTTCAACCAAAATTTTATACTATAAATATACACAAAATACTATAGAATTGACTATGAGTTAATTAAAGAAATGATAAGCATCTGTATTTATAAAATGCAGATGCTGATACTACAGACATGTTTTAAATTGGGCTTTAAAAAGTCCTGTTTTGTATGTTTCATTATAAAGCCCAGTACCAGGCCTTTCAAACAGTTTTAGAAAACCTAAATATAAACTGCCACAACAGATAATTCTTCTCATTCTGGACCCTTTCTCTGGATTGTCCAACATCCTCACTCTGACATTGTCAAATATTTGCAAAACTCCCCCTCCTTCTCAGGCTTCTCGTGGAAAAGTTGTTCCCTAACTTTTTCAGTCAACGTTGCATCAGTACTCCAAAAAAAAAGTTAAATCCTTGACAGCACATTTGTATTCGTATTGTGTGTAATTAACCTGTAGATGTTCTTGGCCCTACAAAATGTTCAAACCTATTCTGAAACTCAGTTAGCTTTTAACTCCAATGACGCACTGTGGCCTTGAGTGCCACATGCTTACTACACATTAGGCTATAAATATTCCTTGGGTTAATTTTGCTGTGTATCAGTGTTAAAGAATGCCCTGCTAGTTTATTATAAAAGGGTGTAAACAGGATTGTCTGATTTTTCCTTCTTTGCTGTTTTGAGTATATCAGTGTCATGTGCCCTTGTATTTGCCTCCTCTCTTAAATAAGCAGCCCTGGTTTTTCCCATTCAAAATAAAACCCCAAAACACATATATAATACATACATGTGTGCATATACATATATATATATGTATAAAAATAAAAGCAGAGGGTTTCTGGCTGCTTGTCACCTGCCTGTGAAGCCCCTTCTAGTTCTGCAACTGTCAGCCAAATGCTTCTACTGAGCCAGAGCCAATGTGGTGAAATGAGATCACATATGGTGGACACTGAGCGAAAAGATGCAGTACCTCTGAGACATGTTACTTTTACTGGATCCAGAGGACGTCTTTCAGGACCTGTCTCTCCTGACTGCACTGACCTTTTCCTTTTTCCAAGGCCGCATGAGTACTTAAGCTCATCGGTTGTGAAAACAAATCTGATGAGATAGCGAAGGAGCCGTCGTCCATCTTTCTTGGAAGAATTTACAGCCTCATCCCACTGTTTACTAGTGATGTAGACAGGATAGTTGTTCAGCAACTGCTTGCTCCCCTGAAAAAGTGAAATATTTCCATTGCTTATTTTACGAAGCAAATAAGTAAAGATGTCAGTTGCAATAAAAAATATGTTTTTTAACTAGCCGTGACACAGACAGCGAAACACACCCTGAAGTGAACACATAATTGCTCTTACTGAGAATGAGTACTTTCAAAATTACATTTCCATTTTCTAGAGCTTGAATTTGGTGAGGTACAAGGCATATGCTTTGAGAGGTGGCTGTTGATAATTTCCACTTTAACAAGCAGGTTAAAAAGAGTTAAGAACCAGTAACTGGTTATACTATTTAAGTACAACCTTCCTTCTTAATCTGTTAAAATGCATAAAAAGGGTCTTTGAAGAGTGTGATCAAATGGATCACTTCATCGCAGCTGACAGTTTACTTCAGAGGTGACTCTTTTGGTCTATTTTTATAATAAATTTATTACTTCTGTAGAACACACCTGAAACTTGGCAGCAGTTATGTTACTGTGAAAAATGCAAAGAAAATAAATAAAGGAACTATGAAAACTAAAAGCTTCATTATTATTAATGAATGCCACATTAACTCAAATTATAGCTTTGCAGAAATGCCACCATGTCAGCTGGAAAGAAATTTTGCTTTTAACCTTCATAATTTGTGTGCTTCAATATTTCAACATTAAATGAATGCTGGGGGACTAATTATGGGGATTCCTGTAATCCACACACATTTATAAGCCCTCTTTAGTCAATTGTACCTAAATTGTATTTAATTCTTGTTGCCCATAAAATGCTACAGTTCAGGATTACCCAATTAATGTAAGATGGTACTGTTAATATACTTGAAATAATTGAAGTACACAAAAAAACCCAAACCACACCCTGCTAGAGACTCATTCACTTTTACAGCTACACCTCTTTATTAAGACACATAAATCTGGAGGCCCAATTAGTAAAATCTTCTTATAGCCCCCAGCATAGATAGGAGCTCATAGTGAACTAGGGAAACAAAGGTCTGATGCTCAACAGGGGCAATCAGCTGCATGCTGCACTTGTGGGCAGCTGTTGCAAAGTTCTCCTCCTCGCTTCCAGATCTCTGATATCTGCAAACTATTTTAAGAACTACCCTTGCCTCCTTTCATACATTTATTATAGCATCCTGGGAGACAGCTTGGGAACATCTTTGAAGTTTTTCCTCAGGTATTTGCTTTTAATTTTTTTTGCAAGTTTGATAAATATATGGAAGGTTGAATTTAGTGAAGACTGTGATGAGGGGGGTCATTAGAGAATCTGTACGATTTAGGGTACCACCACTTCCCAGGGGCATTAACATCACTGGGACCTGAGCCGATGTGACTGTCTGCTACTTGTTCGCCTCGGTGCAAAGGTGCAAACTGCTGGCAAAGACAGCTACAAGCAAACCTACAACTCTGCAAAGGAAGCCAAAATATAAAGGAAGAGATGGGCTTTGTTTGCCTGAGGGCACCCCCAACCACCCCTCAAAAAAAACCAAACCCCATCTCTTCATTCCCTCTGTAGTTTGTCAATCCAAGCTTGTAATCCCTAGGAGAAAACCCCTTCACCTATAGCCCAGTTCTGTTAGCATTTGAGACTTTCTCTTTGCACTTCACTTGTCTCCTTCCGCCACTGTGAAAGGGCCAGGGTCAATCCCTCTCCCTCCACTCATGACACAAGAAGCTGCTTTAGTTTTTGCCAGGTACACGCGCCCCTGGGAAGCCGGTGATACGTCCGAGGAGCTCTGCTGTGGACAGAACATTACCCTCCAACCAGTCCAGCTCCTTGTCCTCTGTCAACATGGTGAAAGGGCTGAGGAAGGAGGAAGAACAGGGGGGCAGCATGGAAAGCTCTTTGGGGGTATTATACTCTGATGCTGAAGCAAATGTGACCAGTCCATCTCAGGGGGAGCCGACACTAGTATTTCCTTGGCTTGTTCCACCACAGCAGTAATACACAGGACCATCTGATCCTCATGTTGGTACTTATTTTTTTCCAGCAGCTAGCGCTGTAACCCTTTTATATAAAGCAAATTATCTCCCTACTGTTCTGAAACCTATTTATTTTTACTATTAAAAAAACTGTAGTGAAGCAAGGACTTTTCTTACTGATACCAGTGCAAAGTACAAGCTGCAGCTGACTGTAGGTACTTTTCAGCCCTGGCAAGCAGGAGCGGTGCAATGCAAGGCCATAATGGCACAGGTAAGGCTCCAGGCTCGCTCACATGCATTAGGGATGGGTGCTCATGTGTGGCTTTGCTAAGTAGCAAGCTATCCTAGAAGTTACCTCTGTGTTTAAAAGCGTTGCACTGATGGAAACAGGGTGAAGAAAGGCCCAGCATCTAAGTTTCATGAGAGTTAACATCACTGTTAACTGAGGAGAAAGTAATAAATTTTGCGTAACTCTCTCAGACCCAATTTTATTATACTTCTCTCTTATTCCCCCTGAAATTTAGTATATTTTTCCTCATTCTTCTCCAACAGCATGATACAATGTTATGCTACTCTCTTAAACAATTACTGGGTTTCTGCTACAGATACACTTTCATTACTTCCTCTGAAAGTAAAGCACTTCTGGGCAAAAGATTCTCAGTAAATATATGACGCAGTTTGGTGTGTCCAGCAGTCATTAAACTAAAACAAACAGAAAACCTTTCCAGAAATGAAATAAGCAGACCCTGAAGGAAGAACCAAAGTACAAATGCATTCATGCTTGTATTCGTACATGATTAAGCTTATGAATAAAAGATTATCATCTATGTGTTTAATTGAATAAAAAATTCTGTCACATCATGACAAGCTATTCCATGTGGGACATTACAGAACAGCCTCAGTTTTTACAGTGCTTGAAAATTTTAGTTAAGCAAAAGAGCATTAAAAAAAGGGAAAATGAATCCTTAGAATGTATTTGAGCGAGAACAGCTAATGATATATATAAATATATATATATCAATTTGTACAGCATAAAACTGAATGGAGGAACAAAGTGATGCACACCCTGAACTGCTGCAAAGCATCGTCAGTGAAACTATGGTAAGTTGGACTCCATGAGGCTAGCACTACGTGTCATTTAGCTGCAAAGGGAGGTCCTAAGTCTTCCCTCTTCTGATTTTGTTTGCATGAATAATGGGTAGTGACATGTACAGACTACATATACAAAAGCATGCATAGCAAGAGCCTCAAATACAGACAGTCTAAACTGGAAAAGTCTCAATAAAACCACTTCATTTGAGGCACTTTTACAAGCCTGGGTAGAAACACACTGGAGCAAAATTAACATGAGTTACACTAGAGCTGATAGATAAATGTATACATCTATCTTCTAGAGAAGGGGAGGACTTAAATTTCCTGCTTTTTCACTGCAGCACTTTTAAACAGATCATAATTACAACAATCCCCAAACTCTGTATCAAGTATAAAATTGTGAACACTCAACATTTTGTTTGGGATGCTTTCTGAAAAGCAAGAGCACTCCAAAGACTTGCAGAAGTCTATATTTGGGGCTGCCTGCAAAATGAAGGAAGCGTGTATTTTAGTGTTAACCATCTCAGGGCTGCATTAGAGCTACTCTAACTGTACCTACGGGCATGCCTGTGCCCATACACACGCCGTGTCGGTACCACCCCCAGCACGCCCCTGTGCACCGGCAGCCACCACGTGCAGCTACCCGGCTACAGTTTTCACCAGGCTTGCCTAAATTCTACCAGCAAAAGTGATGTTTCTGAGGAAAGGTGAGAGAAAAATTACCCAAAGCAAGGCAAGTGCAGCTTGGTGCCAATGGAGGCAGTTACACGCTGCTCAGTAGAGTCATCCTAGATTATACTAGTGCTGAGTCTCCTCCATTTGGGGGATTGCTGTACCTAAGAATGACAGTTTAATAAGAGATTTTATATATTTTTACTACTAAATATATTCTTCCAGAGCCTAATGATTTATTTGCCTACATGTTTTCAATGAATTGTCAAACATAAAGAGATGTAGCTTGTCTTTACTGTATACTACCTCAGTCGGATGGTCTGCTGGCTGTGGTACCAAAAGCTGGTTGTGATGCTGAAGTACAGTCTTCAAATAATCTAAAACAGTCTGGCAGGGCACTGCATGAAACAAATTGCAATTACTGTATATTAGCTATCTAGCACAAAATAGAAAAACAATATTAAATCAAGCAGTGTTCTTCAGGATCTGTTTTGTATACCTGTGAGATTTATTTCAAATAGGAAATACTTCTCATTTTGATTTGTGCAGACGTTTCATTCAATAAATACACAACAGATTTTGTATTTCCTATGTTGAGATCTCTGACATTGCTTTTATTTTCTGCCCACTAGTTGTCAAAGGTTTTTTTTCCTAGTTTGAAGTTATAATTATTATAAATACAAATTAGGTCAGCAGTAATGATAATAGGAAAAAAAATCTGTAAATACTGTAAACAGCCCAAACCATACAAAGGAGAAAACATTTCTTGGACCTAAATCATGCACTGATTAACATGTAAATATGCTGACATGTTTCTGAAACTACAGTCTGATTAACTATACTGAACAGATTTAATGATTCATATACTTTAATGTCTTTTCCTTCCCTCCTTTCAAATTTGTTATAAAACTAGGTGTTAGGCAAATTGCTTTATTTCTCTTTCCCTCATCCTCCTCCCCTTTCCTTTCCCATCACTCTCATTCATTTCAGTAGTGGTACCAACATCCTATTCCCTTCTGCTGAGGTGATAGGTTAATTAGGGATGATTCAATTATGGGTCTCTCTTAAGCAGATGCTGCCACATCCCTGATTAAGTCTGGAGTATTTCTGAGATACAGTGTTTTTCTCCTGAGCCTGAAACACCGTAGAAGAATTAAGCAGATAATAACCCAACATCACGACTGACTTATGCAAGACTAAATAAGCATCGTTTTTAAGGTATATTATCACTCTCACATTTTGTATGGGTTGTTTTTGTAAAATATTCAGAAATAATGTTAGCTTCATCTAAAAATTCAGAAAAAGTATTTCAGTGTTTTTTGGTTTTTTTTTTTTTTTTTTTTATTATTATTTCTTGGCATTCAGCCTTTACACCTGGAAACTTGTGGTGTTCTGGGGTTTGTTTTAAGCTGGCAATCTGAAAGCAAGCACTGAAATCACTGAGAATGTCTCAAGGTAGGATTTACAGGTATTTTGCACTCTTCCCTGGGCATTCACACTGCACAGCAACTATGCCCCTGTCTAGGCAGACAGGCTACAAACCACCATCACTCTGTGCGAAACAGACTTTTCACTAAGGGCTAAGCAGTGTTACATCCAGCAGCCTGCATACAGAAGTCATGCAAATGCCTGATATAAATAATAAATTCCTACGTCGTTTCACCCCATGCTGACTTTTCCATAAAGACGACCCATCAGTGTATTTACTCCTGTTTCATTTGTATATTACACTTTGCCATAGGAGGTTAGGAGGTTATGTTAGGTGAAAGTTAGCATTTCAAGTGAGTTGTACTTTGCTTATATCTCCAGTGACTTCACTGCTTATTTCTAGATGAGGGCAGTGTGTCGGTAGTGTAGCTGCTACACAGTCACACTGCCATGAACAGGAGAGCCTGGAGGACACTTTTAAGTGTCATCAGATGGTTTCAGAATACGTTTCAATGCTGAAAAAGTCAGAAGGGTGGTCAAGATTAATAGTCCCACCAACATGTTCTGTGGCCTTCCTGTAATGAGAGCTGTGTATTTAGCATATGGCAGCAATCAAAAAATTCAATACAAGTTCTTATGTGGAATAAAAGGAAAAATAACCACAGGTAATGTTTCAGTACACTGGATAGTTTTAAGAAGGTGGGGCAAAAAAGGGATTTGGCTTCCACACCCACCCCCCCCCACCCCCTTCCTTTTTATACACAGGAAAGCATACATGGGAAACAGAAATTTTTTTTTTTCCCTATGTCGATAGGCCGAAGGGTAAGATTGTATTTTGAGACCCTTTGTGTGTGTTTGCTGTCTGGCATGTCCAAAATGAAGATTAAACGAGGAATACCCATGCGTACTCTGATTAAGTAGGTGTCCAAGAAAGAGGCACAAGGATCACGAAGGCTCACTGCCCTGGGCAGTGTCAGAAACCCTGCAACAAGGTCAGCAAAATGTCCCACCCGTGGGCAACCAGCATCTCCTGTGAGATCCCGCATCTCCTGTGAGGTGCCAGTAAGGATGGGAGAGGCTATGATGGGTGGTTGTACTACTGCCTGGAAGATGCCTGATTCTTGGACTTGGAAGAGAGTTGAGTGATACTTGGGAAATCAGACATAGTTGCAAAGTATCCTTTTCCTGCCCTGTCCAAATGTGTCGCTTTTTGTTTAGCGAGCTCACTGCAGACATAGTTGCTGAAGCACCAGCAGTACCTGGAAGCTTTACACTTCTTTGGTGTCCATGAAGCTGTGCTCAAAAGAGTCTGTGAAGTTTGCTCTTGCTTTTCTGGTTGTCACTACTAGAAAAAGTTCCTGGTGATGACCTGATGGCTCTCAGCCATACTTGGTACTATTACCTGTAATTACGTGGAACAATGTGGGGCCTGAAAGGGAACAGAATATAATGCATCAAAAATTTCTAATTTTTAGGAGCTGATCTCACAGCAGGATGGTATTTTACCCACAGTAATTTCACCACAGGCTATCCGAAGATGCATTTACTTACATTCTTCCAAAGGGATGGGGCACAAGCAAGAAGACAACAGGAAACTATTTAACCTGTTGTGTCCCCAGCAGAGGAAGTACAGCTCTACTCTGTTTTCTGCTGATAAAATGCTTTCTCATTACTGGTGAGAAATACAAAGGTACTAAAAGCTGGCTGAAACTTAAAAATTATCTTCATAAAAGCAGTAATATTTTGAGCACAAAATTGGATGAATTTATTATCATTCTAGTGACTGGAGGGCTCTGAGGACTTTTGACGTGTAAAGCCATCGTACATCACAGTTTGCTGTTGGTACAGATAACCTCAGCCTTTCAAACACCAGATGCTACTTGCAAAGTCAGGCTTCTTGGCCTGATGTATTAGCCTAAGCCTAAAGGAAGCCACAAAGAGGACAGCCCAAGGCCAAGAGTCAAAACTTTGGTTTTGCTTCTATGTCCCTCTTATGGCTCTGCAAATATTGTCTTTGCCAAGAGATAAGAGGAACTGTTTCCTCCAAACGCTGCAATAAACATAACTTTGTAAGAGTCTGTGGCTCCCAACTCTGAGGATGAAAAATCATTTAAACCTACTATCTTATTTATTTTGTATTTCTTTGACTTGGTGGTCTCTAGAGAGTTAAGAAGATCATAATTCTGAGAGCGGATTCTCTGTGGGTTTATGCAGGTATCCAAAAGATGCTAATGCTGAAATAACACATGCTTGTTATGTTTTAGTAGAAAGCCTGAGGGGAGGCAGTAATTTTCCTGCCCATTAGGAAGAAGTTTCCATGGCCTTTACTTTCTCAAAGTGGCAAAGTAACCTGGCCTGCAGCGTGTGAAAGAATGGTGAGATCTTTGCAGGAGCTCAAGGACGGGGGCTAGAGGGGACAGCACACTAGGGAAGGCTAGACTTGCTGAGATGCTCAGCAGTGACTAAGCAGGACACATGTAAGAGGTGGCAGGTCTTCGCTGTTTCTTGATCCAAGTTGTAAGACTGTTGTTATTCTAGGCATCCATACGCTGTAACAAGTGCTGCTTCAGCATAGCTTGTCACAGCTTGCTCTGCAGAGTATCCCAATTTCTAATAAATAGTTGAACAGTGTGGTGGCCACCGACTGTGCCAATGACAAAAGCCAGGCTGTGATCTCTCGGTCTGTCCTGCCACACAGCGCAGCAACTCCCCAGACTAAATCCTCTTTGCACCAGACAGCATCAGCAGGTAAGACACAGTACAACTCAAGTTGTCATCTCCCAGTGATGCCATTTCTACCCTCGGCTCGTTGTTACAGTGTGTGTTACTTCACCCCACAGAAACATACACCATATTTCAAGTCTGCATTTTGTTTTCCTTTGACTGGGTTTTAACAAATCTTTGGAAAAGAAATGGAAAATGCATCTCACCTGTTACATACTTATAGTTAGTGGTGAAGTCATTTCTCTGTCTTCTCTCTCCTCAGCTCAACACTGACCTTCCTGAGATGCTGGGCTCGTGCCAAAAGCAGAGTCCCTGCACCTACTTACATGTCTGTACATCCAAAGACCACGCTAGCCCTTTTGGCCATGCTGTGCACCAATACTTGGCCAGAAAGCCTCCGTGACCTCCAGAAGCCTTTCTCAGCGTCTGTTTCCCAGAGGCTGAAAGCAAGCAAAGTGACGTTCTCTGTGCCTCAACATACGGTAATGCTGCACCGTGTTCGGTCAAGCCTGTCACCTCTCATCTTCCTCACTCACTGCTACCTCTGCACCGCCTGCAAGCTGTAAGCAATGATTGTATGCTTTCTTTCACTGATGGAAGTATTAAAAACATGGGCTGTGAACAGATTCGCAAATAATCCCTCCAGAAATTCATCTGCATGATGGCAATTTCCTGAATACAAATCTACTTGTGTTTTTTAAATCACTCTTTGTAAGATAATGTTATGTAACATCCTGAATATCTGCAGTACTCTCCTCAACCAAACTTTTCATCTCATCAAAACCATAATTTGGCAAGATGCTGCCTGGTACTAACTCCATTATTCTCTTTTAGTACTCTATTAATTGAAGCCAGCATCAGTTGTACAATTAGTTTGTCTGGGCTCAGTATCAGGCCAATGAGCCTACAATCATCTGGGACAACTCATGTATCCTTTTAAAAAAAAAATCATACAGTATTTGCATCTTTCAGTCTTCTGGAGCATCCCAAACATTCCAAAAACATAAAGAAAATAATCACAGTCAGAGTCCTCTTTGTCCACTCTAATTTTTGGTTTAGCTCCTGAAGTGAGTTGTCCAAATCTCATGATTTTGAAAACCTTACGCTTTGGTAGCAGCTGCCTAATAATTTCGGTAATAAGCTGATGTGCACTTAGGGATGACAAGCTGGTGTGCCCAAGCAGTTGCTGCTCCCGGCAGCCTGTGCTGCTGCTTTAATGGTGGCTCCAGTGTCTGAGAGAGGGACT